AGGTCATTGAAAGATCGAGACCGCCGAGGTGTATATCGATTAAGCTTATAATAGGGCGAGGGGAAGACTAGAGTTGTTCTCTTTCCCCAGTTCAGCCATAAAATCAATTCCATACGAAATCCGCTTGTTCCATGTTTTTGTAGCTTGATGGAGAGCACATTGTTCATCCTGTTAGCTCTTTACAGGGTAGCCTTCGGATCCTGGCAATATTGGAATACACCTTTTGCCAGTACTAGTACATACATATACCAAAAGCTTGCACAGATTGCACTGACAAAGCACTAACAAATAGGAAATTTAATATTATCCTCAGGCGGTTTACCAAGTAAGAGGTATCTAATAGTCGGGCAAGCCATTGCACTAGTTCCTGTTTCTATTTATTTTTTGCGAATTTGGTTTTATGTGCATTGGGAATGTTTTGTTATGTGAATGGCGTGTTATTAATCCTATCAGAAAGGATTTCAGTGAGCAGAGCTCGTTAGACCGGAAGGCAGATGGCAGATATACGGCGTAGGCCAAATCAATGGAGTGGAAGCCAGTCGAAGGATCGAAATAGTTATAGTTAGTAAATAAGAAGGGCAGGGGGATTCCCTCTCCCTCATCAGGGTCAACAAAATAGTTGAAGTTTCCAAAGGTTTTCCTTGCAAAGGCAGCGAGCTAGGAAGTACATTTCGGGTTTCCTTATGGAGCGTGATGGGCGATTATGTGGCGGGTGGTGACCAATTATGGTTTTCCCACCAATACGAATTGAGGTCACAAGCCATTACCAACTAGTTCACGGGCGGCTAGAGGTCAGCGGGTCTCATTAGGTGAATTTAAATCGTTGTTTGCCTAAGCCCTGGAGAAATATCAAAGTGGTGGACCCTTTTCTAGTGTTGAACTTTTACGACCCTGAAGTGCGCTTTTAATGAGCTCATTAATGGAAGTGACATCAGAAAAAGCGGGGTTTGAGTGTCCCAGCCGATCGGCTGAAGTTCCGCTGGACCCAAGAGCTCCTGTGGAAACCGAACGGTATCTCCGCCACGATTCCTTCTCGCCTTGGAGCCGACATCGGCTAATCACCAGCAAGAAACCGGCAATTACAACGCCTGTTAATAGAGCCGATTTGCGCGTTCTCAGCCCGTCTCCTGATTACCGAATGAAGACATTATGGAAACGCGTGCTGGCAGCAGAGGAGAGCTTCGCACGGTCATAAGGCCAAGAAGGAAGTGTTCTTTGGGATTCCGCCAGCAAACACCTCCAGCAGGCTACGGCGCGAACGGCTCCTCATTTCATGCGCATTTAACTAATCTGTCATCTAATCCGCGGCTGCATCTCGGGGAGCTCAAGGAGGCAGTGCCACTACTTCCACTCCTACCTCCACTGCAGTCCGGCCGATGCACTCTCAGAGAAGTCGGGTCTGAGCGAAGTTGCAAACTGAAGATAGTTGCTTGCAACAGTGGCTAACAAAGCAAATTCATGGGTTAATCTGAAAGTGCCCCTGTTAAATCAGCTCACTTCACCCTCGATTTTCCTTCGGTGACTCGATAGATTGTCACATTTGTCGTTATGATATTTCCTCAACTATCTACTAAAGTCCCTGAGTTTTGTCCTTGCAACAGCGAACAGTGTGAAGCAAGCCGTGTCTTCTGCTGCCAGTTACATAAGCACAAATTCCAGAACAAAGGCCAGCCGCTCCCTCGCAGGAAACGTTATAGTTGCATTATCTAAATAAGAAATTCTTAAAAGCATTTTCCATTCGCTTACCGCCACTTGTGTGACAGTTGATGATAAAAGAAACAAATCCCAAGCCACAGACTCGGCTCGCGCTGGGCTCGTAACTTCGCATTGTCGGCTTTCAGTCTGGTGTTGCTCTGTCCCGGCTACTTGTTTCACAGCCGAGTGAATGCACAGCCGCTCTTTGCTGGACCTTATCAGAGTCCATTGTTTGCCCATTTCCCAAATGGAAAATGAGCTGCAGAGCTCCCCCAGCAGCCAAAGAATCAGCAGCCGAAACAGCGCCAACCAGCAGCCAGCCTATAAGATAATGTCCCACAGCTCGGGCGGAAGAGTCAGCTCTGGGAGTTGATTCTGCCGTATCCAGTTTTATCGACCTTATAGCTGTCTCTGCACATGTTCGACATGTGCTAATCAGTCCGAGTCCCATTTATGCGAACTGGGGAGTATCCAAGCTGCCCCTTGGAATCAAATTTCACTTGGCTTTGGAAACTGACAATGAAGGGCCACTTTTGTGTTAAGAATAGTTGTTCTATACGAGTATATATGGGAATATTTTAATCGAAAATTCCACTTGCATGATATGAACTCGCTCAATCGAAGAACATTATGCAGTAAACTATTCGATTATCCGTTTTTCCAAAGGAAGAAGGATTCTAGAAGCCTCACAGAAATACTTTCCATCGCTTGGCCTTAAATTGACTTACAGAGAAGTGGCTTTTGGTTGTGTTTTTGTATTTTTGCTGGTGATTAGCTCCACCCCAAAAGATTTTTACAACTTGCAATTAAACACAACCTCGGACCAGGCCCCGTAGCCGTCGCTCGATCGCCTCTGCCTGTCTTCTCTATTTATGGCGCTAACATTACTCAGACGCATGTCGCTGTTGCTGTTGCTGGTCGTACTTGAAGCCAGCGGAGACAAGCAATTACATAGCAGAAACCTTGGCTTTGGCTTTAACTTTTGGCTTGCCAGCTGCGTGGCTTCTCTTTCGGCATTGCGTGCTGCGCAGGCGCACAGCCGCACAGCCGCACAGCCGCAGAGCCGCTTCTCCACATTTTTTCTCGGTCTACGACTTCGATTTTTTGCGCCGCCAGCCGCTGGTGTTGGCCCCTTCAATTTGCCATATTTATTTTGTTTTTATTGAAAATAATAGCCGAGTGAGTGAACGCTCAACTGGCTGGCTGAGCAACTGCCAGATTGAACGACGAGTTACTCCCCGTTCCCTTTGCTTACGATCTCCAGTAGTCTCGAATAATTTATGGTCTTTTAAGATTTCTGGCAAATGGGTAATTTTGCCGGAGAGCCTTGAAGGCCTTTTGGCCTAATGAAGGTTTAGGAAGCGAGGGGAACTGTTTGGCAATCGAAATTATAGACAGATCCCAGGATTGATTGGATCGCGTGTCGCAATCGCAGAAGCATTTTAAGACAGTTTAATGCCTAATACAAACGATAAATAATCGCCAGCGAAAACACCTTAGTCGGTCGGCACTCAAGTGCAAGCCCCATCGTTGGGAAGACAGCCGGCAACCAGTTTTATGATTCAGCCCAGGGTCCGACCCTCCACTCGCTTAATTTATGCTGAGCTTCGTTTACTCGCTTCAGCATAAAACTAATTAAAAGGCCTTGGCGCTCGGCTGTTGGAATTAAACAAAAAGCACATAATCGTTGATTGACGTTAACAGTTGATAAATGGTCTATTCTCGGCTGATGTGTCATCTGCTTACAAGAAGATAAGTCTAATGTGGGACTATTCATCATTAGTCTTTACGGCTAGCTGAGGTCATAGTCCCCAGGAAATTATCAAATTAAATTGCTAAAACCTTACCGACTTGTGTAGAATTAGCCATCGAAGCTTCGGGATCAGCCTAGAAGGGCGGATGATCGGTTTGGACAACTCAATACCATCACCATTCGACGCTGCTTTGAGTCCAGCTAAGTTTATATGGCCAATCCCGTTAAAGAGTTAATTCCCAGTTTCGAGGCTACGTACCTATGTGTGTTGAAACACCTGCAGAGCCCGTGACTTCCCGAACGACTATTAGACTCAGAGAATTACTTTCTGGGAAGTTCTTGAGCGGTGGAGAGTCTTGGCTTTCCGGACCCCTTCCCCGTTGCCGACGACCCTGGTAGTTTGATTTATTAAAGATCTTGCTCCGGCATCCATGCTGAGTACATCAAAGTCATGTTAAACATATGGCGTACTTAACGACGAGGACCAGCCAGTTCGGCCGTAAAGATAAGCACACCAAAATGGCCTCAAAGTGGCTGTGTTTAGAGAGGTCTTAATGAGGCTGGAGAACGAACACAGAGATTGTCACAGTTCCTGGCCAGCGGGGGGATCGGAGTCTGGGTCCGGACACGCGGACAGATTCACTCATGATCCCCCACGATAAAGGCAGCCACTCCAGAGGCCACTTAGGCCAGAAATGTAACATCAGCCTCGCCGCAGCAGAAATTCAAACTTGGAGATGCATTGATAGATTAGGCCGCACTCTTGGCCAGTATCAGATGCAATATTCCGTTCCCAGCCGTGACAGGCGTTGCGAGGCTATCGATTACCTGGGAGATGGGCGCATTCCTCACGCTCTGCGTTCCTGGAAAACTATTTTTAAACAACTTTGTGCTCCCTAAATGGACACTCATTGGACTCTCGAACGCCTCTCTGCTCGAATCCACTGGCCCTGGTAAGTAAAAATAGACTCTCTAATGAGTTGAGAGAATAGTGAACTGTGTAAGTGCCTTGACTGTGAAATCCTAGTAAATCCATTCCGTGAAAACTAACCGAAACTTTAAACTTAAAACTGAAAGGAGACTATTCATACAGAACCCCCCTTCAAGGGTCCAACCACTGGTCTATCCACTGATCGGGTAACTTTCGGGGCTGTCATTAATGGCGCCGCAAGTTTGGCCCACAAACCAAAAGAGACAACCACCATTTACAGCTAGCTAAAGAAACGAAACGAGTTTGGCGCTCTTCTTCTGGATTCTTCCTCGCCGCTTTGTGGTCCACGCCTTTTGGGTGGTGAAATCGAACCGTGCTGGTTATGCTCTTCTCCACTGGCCAGCAGCTTCAAGTTGACCAGATCGAGGAGGAAGTTCCACCGCAATTATTCGGAGGCAACGCCCGCCGATCCTAGCAGCATGATTTCAAGGTTCTTTGGTAAGTACCATCCCGTAAAGGCTGAGATGGCTGTGAGAACGGCAGGCCAAGCTCGAAATCGCCGAAGCATCTGAGTTTGAGATCCCTGTCATCGAGTTGTTAGATTTGTTTGTGTTGTTCATAGCTTAAGCATTCAAAGTGTTTGTTGGCCCCGACACCTAGCAAAATTTCAAAAGTGATTTCTTGCCGACTGAAAGGTCGCAATGCCTACCCTAAAGCTGAGAATTGGTCTGCCCTCGAGGCGAACGCTTGGCGGCATCTGCATCTGCGGAGCACTGGCCTCCATCTCGGGGCTGGCCTACATGAGCTGGAGACGGGAGGACCAGGTGCGTCAGACGGAGTACTATCAGATGGCCATCCAGCAGCTGCGCCAGCACAGCGGAGCCGTGGGTCTGCTGGGAGAGCCCATTAAGGAGTCGGGGTTCAGCCTGTCCAACGAGAAGAACCGCTGCGACGGGGACAAGGCCCAGCTGCAGGTCTCCGTCCAGGGATCCAAGGACAGGGGCACCGTCTTTTTCTGGGCTACGAATAGCCAGAAACAGGGCTGGATGATCGACCGTCTGGAGCTCGAAACTAAGCAGCATCCGAACACCCGCTTCCTGCTTAAGAAGCCCCAGAACTATGCCCTGCTCAGCAACGAGGGCGATCCGGACCCCCCGAGTGCCGAAGTCGCCGAGGAATCCCAGCAACCGCAGGAAGCGCTCAAGCCGCAGGAGGCGCCCAAACCACAGGAGGAAGGGGATGGCGAAGAGCAGGAGCAGGCGGTTCATCGCCACCCCAGCATCCAGAACAATCCTCCTCAGCACCTTCAGCAGCAGCAGGGTCAGGAGCCAGTGCCGTTTGTTCACACAGCAGAGGGCTGAAGCTTCTAGTTATGCAATAGGTCTGACCCTCTCCTGATGCTCCAAGAATCGTACTCCAGTTTATGGCTTTCAATCAAGAGTTAAAATCTACTTTGGAGTCAGCCGGCTCATTGCTTTCAGTTCAAGGATAAGCTAATGTTTTTGAGAACATGAATAATTAAGAACACTAGCCACAACCTATTTAAATTACAGTTAGCATCTCTGATAAGATTACGTAAAGGGTAGGGTTATATTTTATTAAAATAAATTTGATCTCGCCCGAACCCAGCCATGTACCCCGTGGAATTTACTTAGAACTAATTTCATCTGCGACCAAATGCAATTTTAATCTGAAAATGCAATCCAAGTGAATAAATCGTGTTTCGGGACAGCGAAGAAGAGACATTTTAATTTACTTGAAATCTCGAAGGTGCATGAGGCATCCCCAAGAATGTCAACAATGACATTGTGCTTGCCGTCGTGGTTTCAGCTTCGTCCGCCGACTTGGCTAGTATGTAAAGCGAAATAAAGGGGATCTTATGTGGATAGCTGTAGTTTATTTTTAGTGGTTTGCCCGCCTTGTTTGACAAGTGCAGTATTACATCGCGATACTCGTAAGCGATTGAGACTTGAAAACAAATAACTGCCGCCTATGAGACCCTGAAAGCATTCAGAGCAAGACGCCGAAACAGTTTGGGCCTCTTAGCGCCGCCGTGTGTGGGTCAGACATGCTTCTTGGCAGGCAGGCATGCGGAAAATGAATAATAAAATGTATAAATTGAATTTATTTTTCATTCCGCCAAAGAGGCAGTGAGTGCGAAGCACGAGCAAGTTGTTTCCCAATTGGCCAGGCCACGCTGCTGGTTGGAAATGTTCACAGTGACCTTTCCAGCCGTGGCTGCCTCTTCTCGCTTCTTTATCGCTTCATTTGGGGTGTTATCTGGGTGCGTGGTAATTAAATTCGTGGTTTTTGTAGTTTCCTGTTCCTGCCGCTCTGCCGCCCTTTTGTGGAAATGTTCACCTTCCCGAGATGTTATTAAAAAGATAATCGCAATCTTAGACATTTTATTTGCCTCTTGCTTGGAGGGGCCTCCGTAATACTTTGAAGAAATTAAACGGCGGGAGCGGGACGGGCGGAGAAGGCCGCTTCTTGTTACCTTGGAAGTTCAACAAGCCAAGACAAGGAAGCCACAACAAGCCGGCACCGAAGTCAGAGGCAATTAAGCGTGCGCAGCGCAAAGACACAATGACTCGAAGCGGAGGTCAGGGAGGTGACCAGTAGCCCGGAGATGGGCTGCTTTTGTTTGCACAATTTAATTTGCCCAAGAAAAAGTTGTATGTGCGTGGATTTGAGGAAGGTCGTTGGAGCCTCTTGCTCACCCGGAATCTTGCCATTTGTTTTAGCAGCACAAATGATTTTATGGCGATGCAGCGATTTGTGTCTTTCTTCCGTTTAGATGAATGAATGGTCCTTGTAGCCATAACAAATCATACTTTTTACGAGGGAGGCAGGCAGAAACATATTATTACCTCTCCGTTTTCCGAGGAGTCTGATATTGCTTCTGTTCCAGTCACAAAGATGAAGTCACGAGGTTCTGACAGGTACAACGAACTCGAGTGAAGTACTTTTGAAATATCTGCCATTACCCGCTTGGAAATTATCTTCAGTCCCAATATCTGATTGCAAGTCTTTCCACATGAGAGGTGTCTGAGAATGGAAACAGCGAGAAGTAAACCGAAAGTCGTTTCGAGAGAAATCTGTGCAAATGAAGTAAAGGTGTCAAGAACCTTGCTGACAAGCAGGCCTCTAACTGCCAGCCATCGGGAGATGGGAGATCATAAAGACGCAGACCCAAGATCCCCAGAAGACCGAGTAGGAAGCAGAAGTGGCCACAGAAACAGCAAACCAAACAAACAGCAAACCAAAACGTGACAAGCAGTCGGAGAACAAAGGTGCAAACACGGTTTTTGCATCTGTCAAATGGGCTACGTGAAAGTTTTCCAAGCTGACAGGTCAATCCAATCCAACTTTGCTGGGTGTCGCTTGTCATAAAAATCGACCGGACCAATCAACACTTATTGAGTTCAAAGTCATTTGAGCCGCACCACACCGCAGTGCGTTCCGAGTGCCACCGGCGCATGCATGCCACTTTACGCGAAACTAGTTTCGCATGTGGGCAGTGAAGTAAGCGATAGGTCGACATACTTTCCGAAGTCACTGTCATTGGCGGATAAATAGAGCAAGAGCAACATGACAAGAGCGGCTCAGAGGTGGGCCATATTCGAATGCGACTATGCACTGGTTACACATATCAAATATTATGACTTGGTACCTAAATTAGTGCTCTCGAAAGTGACTAACCCTTAGCTAAGCTTCTATAAATGTGCTTAAGATCAGCTTGAGTGAATGTTCATATAAACTTAAATCACTCAAAATTAGAACATTTGAAAGTCGGTGGTCATGCTGAGGGTAGTTCTGTTCCTCCACTTTGCAGTCGCGGCCCAGAAACTCATTTGCAGCTGACACCAACGCGATGCCAGTCAGCCAGTTGCGAAGGGCTACTGGGGTGTGGAGTGGAAGTGGCCTGGTAGCCATGGTCAGTCTTCAGGCAGGGAAGTATAAAGCTGGAGCGAAGGGGGAACGTGCGCACAAAACATAACTCTCGCTCGACGATGATGTTGCAGGGGAATCCAATTGCATCTATGTGGATAGCTGGATAGCGACAAATGTCAACGGCACACGCTAATTAAGGTTAATGAAAACGACAAGCGAAGCTCGGCAAAATAAAGCATGACAACAAACTGACGACGGTGATTAACGAGGACAGTCAACTAGTCGGCATGGGGCAGAGAAGAAGCTTTTTGTTACGGCTGGATAATATGGCTATTGGCGTCACCTTGCCCAACCATCGCAATCCATCGACATGGAGCTTTTGTTTTTGCGTCCGCGTCGAAAGTTTTCCATTTCAATTATTTCCATTTCGGCACATAGTTCGTTCTCACAACATGTCATAAGTCATGAGCCATACCCAATATGTCACTTCGGGAAACGAAGGAGAAGCCTCTCCGTAGACGGCTCTAGTTCAGGGTTTAAGGATTCTGGGCGGATCTTTTAGGATGGGAAAGTGGACAGGAACTAGGACTTACCTATTTTGTGTTGCTATTTGCTGAAAGAAAACAGAAAAGTCAATGAGTATCGTACATGCAAATGTAAGGAAACTTAATAGGGAAAGAAGTGAGGAAGCTAACTTCGGCCAGCCGAAATTTATAAGTCCGTGCAGGATTGGGGCTTTCCACATTGCGTCTCCTTCTGCAAAAGCGGGTGCAAGCACTCATCGCTTTTTAAATTGGGGAGTTGCGAAGATAGTTTTATGATTTTCAACAATGAAAAAGGAAGAAGTTGTCGTCATTGAATGCAACCAACAAGAAAAGCAGTACTGTTCTTGGGCTAGCTCTAAAACATTTTCCAGAAGGGAAGGACTCCAGCAATCCCCGCAGTGCAGACGAGCCGTTAAGGCCCACTTTAAAATGCAATTTGGCTGCCTTTGGTCTATTTAAAAATGAATGCACTGTGAAGGGAAAACAAAGAAAAGTACATGAAGAGCAAAGCAAAGAGTGCAGTGCCTTTCTGCACTTTTCTAGACCCACCTCATCCAGTCTGCTGAGCAAACGGAGTCCTGAGGACGCAGTCCAACCAAGCCATCCTGACCCCAGGGAAGTTACTCGTAACGTTACTTGAACGTGGCCCGAGAAGGAACAAGGAAACTAATTATATATATTATATAATTCGTGTTCTAGCTTTGGATATAAAGTGTGTTAAGTTTCTCCAACCTCCAATCCTTTTCAGCAGACTGATAGGAGGAATTCTTAAAGCGCCACTCAGACTTCTGAGATCACGCGAGAAATGTTTGTACGGAGATAAGCACCACAAAAAACAATACTAAACAGTGATTGAAATATTATTATTATTATTTAAACAATTTGAGATTTGTAGGCTAGACATTTTGTTCAAATCCGCTCAAAGGAACATAAGTATAAGTGACGAATCATTTTAACTTTCTTTTTGCAATGTTCAGTTTTTAACGTCGATTTAAGTTCAGAACCAGAATAATTCGTCCGTTTGGCTTATCTCTTCACAGGGGTTTCTCAACTGTAACGGATAGAGATGTGAGTGAAAATCTGAAATCACTTTAATCTTGTAATTTGATGCTGATGGCGAGGCGAGGATGTTCTTAAAGATTCGTTCGTCCAAGGAGTTCGAGTGTTTACTTGTGAGGCGCTCGACTCACCCACCAGACTCCTTGCCCCCATTGAACCCATTGAGAGGCTCATCCAAGCTCAGCAGTTGCTGTTCAACACTTGACTTCTCAAGTGCACATACAGGGTATGGGGTGTGCTAGGCAGACTGATAGGTTCCTTGTTCTAGAGACATTGGGAAGTTAGGTGCAGGATCTGGGGCCAAGTGGTAGCTGTGGGTCAAGAGCAATATCGTTGGGTAGTCCGGCTTAGGAATAAAGTGTGAGTGAGGAAAGACAAATTAATGAGAAATATTGATGGGATCGGTGACATTTAAGAGGGTATAATATCCTACAAAATAATCCGTCAAATCCCCGGAAAAACCATGTCCTGGTTTTACCACGGGCAGGCACAAACAGGAATAATATTTCCATGTGCAGTTTCCGCAATAATTGTCAGCACCTGAAAACTGTTCACGAAACTTATCTGCAGTCACTCAGAGCATTTGCGAATGAAACTAAGCTCATAACTCTCTCCCAGCCCCTCAAAGGACAAATGCCAAAAAGCCAAGCAACAGCAACAGCAACAGCCGTCAAACTTCCACTTGCAAAATTAAACAAACGCTCACACACAATGGAAAACTCATTCAATATTTAAAGCTCGTCCAGCGCTACGGCACATTGTACATCGTACAGAGAGCAAAAGAACCGAAACCCAAAAACTATAGTCTTTAAAAGTGATTGGCTTTAATAATTTACAAGATTCCCGAAAAGGGGAGACAAGTTTGGGATTACAATAGTAACACAAACATGAATTTAGTAAACATTTTTCCAACTTGTTCTTTGGTTGGCTTTGTTTCTTGCAAGGAACTTTTTATGGATGACATTTGAAGATCGTTAAAAGCTACACAGTAAACATGACCAGAATGAATGTCCATTGATAACTTAAACATCTAGCTAGGTCAGCCAGCAGGGAAGAATTAGGGGTTCCTGCTGGGAGTCTGAGGAGCGGAGCTCCGCCTCGGCCAAGTGGAATGCCCGGAAGGCAATACCCGAGTTCAGGTAAATATGGCGCTCGAGCAAACGCCGTGCAGAATGCAAAATTTATTAGTTTGGTAAAAGGCAGGCCGAGCGATAGCAGAGAGGAGAATCCGGGGATGCTGTACCCTCGCATTGGAGATGCATTCTAGGTGTGCTGGCAACTGTGATGCTTTCCCATGAATGATTATGCTATCTTAAACTGTTATTGTCCACCCGTACGTTAAATACATAAATAAACCCACAATGGATCCCTTTCTAAGGGCTTTATGTCACCCCAAAGAGCGTATAAGATGGCCTATGCAGTCTGAGGTACTTTGAAAGAGTATTCAGACTCAACCAATGGCATTCGCAGAATGGTTGAGCTCAACAAAACCAGAACTGCAGGCAACTTCCTCCAATTGTGTTTTGCCCGCTTTTAGGGTCCCTGTGCCAGCAGCAGTATCTGTGAGACTCTGAACAGGTCCTGGCAGGACTTCGAGCAATAATAAAAGGCGAGCAGCCCAGATTTGAGCTTGAATAGTCGAATTTTGCCTCTGCAATAGGACACAACGTCATAAAGTGGATACTCCTAGACCCTGTGACCTCCGCGAGGTGACTCCTTGCATAGTGGGCCGCGGTGGGATTATTGTGATACCGATGCGGCACCTTTACTAGGTAAGTTCTTCAGCTTGATTAAACTTTAAATGCATTTTCAGTTAAGTGCTCAAGCATGTGCAAGATGGATGCTAGCACCACTAGTACGGACGTATAAAGAATGAGCTATGAAAGTAAATCAGTTTTCCCCAAAATTTATTTTTTCATAGACTCCCTAGGAGGTTTCTGCCAGCGTTCCCAATATTTTTAGTTCACAACTTATATTGGAACAACGGACAGTATGAACACATGCAAATAGCCATAAAAATGTTGTATTTAATTAGCTTCAAATGACCCGGAGACTAACAAATCTAACATTACCACGATGATCCCGAGGCATGTACAGCGCGGACCAATTTGTCAGGGGCCGTAATTTTAATTATTAGAGCAAATAAACGGCAGTTCCCAGGGGAACTTTCACTCAGCTAATGGAGCCCAGGGCGACTACAGCCAATATATGGCCAGTCATATATATCGTCAGCCGGGCCCAGGCAAACATGTTTGCTGAGCAGGAGCGCAGAGGGCTGGGAAACAGAAAGGAAATTGAATTGCCGAACGGCATTGGGCAGTGAAACTGACTCTCTGGTCGGAAACTAATTAAAATTTGCACATTTGATAAACTTTTTTAATGGACTCCCTCAAAGAGTGCCCCTCCCTCAGGGAAACTCAAAACGGAAAAGGATAGGGGGAAGGGTCTGCTGAGTCTACTGCACTCGAAATTAATTGAATTTTCAGCAGACATAATGCGGCTTACTTCTTCTTAGGAAATTAAGTTAATTAATGTACAAGTTGTTCTGGCCAAAATATCGATGGAATTTTGAACGTTGTATCAATGATTGTGCCTTGTGGAGTCCGCATTACCAAATTCCAAAGGGTTTTACTAACTAGGTCTGTTATTGCCTTCTAAAGTTAATCAATTTCGATGGTCTCGTATCTTAGGAGTACCGAGAACAACACCGATAGGTCTGAGCAATCTCCAAAACGTGTAAAACAATCCGTGTCGAACATTGCGTTTCTGGTAACGGAAAAATTGAATTTGGCTTCCAACTTGATAAGATATCTCGGGTTGGGACAAATCAGAAGTGTGTTCTGACATTTCCTCAGAAACAGATATCCGCAGAATGGTAAGTTAAACGCCCAATTCAAAAGGATTGGTAAATGCCTTGACACCAATTGATTTTTTTATCTCTGGTGGCTCTAAATACTTATCCAGAATTTATTGCACTTAATAAGCTTATCTACTTCTATGGAATTATATTAATTAGGGCATTTTTTACCTTTTTAGTTTATTCTATTTTCTACTTAAAAGAAAGAGCGTACGTTTCTAAGACCCAATTTATGCCCACTTAAGTGGGGGAACGAATACTTAAAAATTGATAACAGCTATCTCAGAGGTAGGCATCACCTAAGAGATAAGATTAAGAAGCCATGACTAACTGAAAGGCTGGCGTTAGTCGCTGAAGTCGCTGATAAACATACTGAAAAACATGCATATCTCTTCGCTTATCGAATCGTGTAAACGTGGCGACGAAAGCGAAAGTTAACCCAAAGTTGTTATTCATTGATCTAGGAGGCAGGAACTTCTACAAATGCCCACAAAATTCCAACACAGTTTTTAGGGATCAGAAATATATATCAGAGATGTGCGAGGAATGATCTGACGTGGAACCCACAGATCAGGACGCCGTGTGGAGGTTTCAATTATGTTTGGCAGTTGCTGTGCAAATTGAACGGACTGAAAGTATCGCACACGCATTCGGGCCCGGGGCGGCAATCAGTCAAGAGACAACATCAGCCACTCTCAGCTGGCCAAGAGCAAGAGACCGTCGCGGCAGTCACTCGCTTGAGCCCCGAAGGCGTAAAAACAAAAATCTCTTCAAGCTTTGAAGTGACTGACGGGGCTAACTCGATTTGCATAAACTTCGTCGTTATACGCAAGTAAGACACATCTTCCCCCTAATTTCGAGAAATTGAAGACGAACATTAACTATTCAAATACTTCTTTGCCTTACGAGAATTTAAAAATAACTTGAGATTTTTGAAGTCAACTATTTATATAACATTACAGCATTTCAGCTTCACACTGGGACAAAGAAGGTGCCACATGGTCGCCGATAGCTGATTTTGTGAATCTTGTTCAAAGGTTTTCCAATTGGCCTAATAGCATTACACGCTTTAATGCTTCTGTTTAATTAAGCACTATCGCAATCAATCCGGGAAGCTTTCATCAAGTTTTCATGTCCGTTGTGTGACTAACAACCGAGTCAAGTTAAAGATAGAGGCTGACCGATGTATGTGATGTCAGGTAATTGGTCTTTAAGGTGCAACCTGTGAGCGGTAAGCTTGTCTAGCGGTTAATTAGTAGCATTTCACGTCACATTAGACCCAGGAAACTCTATTCAGGGTCTGGAAATACTAGTGAACATGAAATAGAAAGATATGCCATGACACGGTGATGATGACGAAGTGGAATGCCCAGAATACCATCCACTCTGGCCAAAAACTGAAAGAGAATCAACAAATGCTGTCACCTTTTCCCGGGGAGATGATGGTGGTTTTTGAAGCAAAACTTTCTTCCTTGACGGCTGTCAATTTTGGCATTCAGCAACAAGAGGAAAATCTGACAGGCTGGCGTTATCAATGAAACCGAAATCGAGTCCCACCCAGAATCCTAACCACAGGGAAATCTTGTTACTAGCGACATGGAGTATATATTGATGTAAAAAAATATCGATTATCGGTTAATAGACGGCCTAAGAAGAATATCTCGAAAGGTGTCTTTCGCACATTTTCGGAATTTAGTTTTTCATAACTCTTTCTGACAACCTTGCTATTCCATCTTCTTCACAGCTCCTCCAAGCCCCCGAATCCCCGCCAAAGCCAACCTGAATAAAGATGACTATTATGCTTGCCAACCGAAACTCGATTGCTCGAAATCCAGTGGCCCGCACTCGGGTTTTCCCCCGAACTAAATTGATTTATGATGTCTGCCACACTCACAATCCTTGGAACGCTGGAAGTTATGCAACAGCAGGTCGTGGTTCTGCCACTTTGTTTACGCCCCACTCCGTTTCCTGGCCCCATCTTGTCCCGAGTGGGCGTGGCATCGAGTAGGTGTCAACTCCCTGCCACCGAGCGTGAAAGTTTATTCGGAACCACGCCACTTCCTCCGGATGCGGCCGGCCTCCAATTCCTCGTTTCGGCTCCCTTTCGTGTGACCATACTCCGACTCCGGCATTAACAATCATAATTCATATTTATTAATGCGCTCAATTTGTTGTTAATGGCATTACCCGCCATTGGGCTTTGGGCCAGGATCGATTGTCGACGCCCAGCTGCTGTCATTATTTTTTCGCTGGTTAACTGCGCCCGGATGTGCGGCGAGCAGCAGACTTAATGGATGGCTCCTCTCGAGGTGACACCTTGATTTACCGACTGGCTGGATGCTTTGATGGGCGAACTTGACGCCCATTTGTGCAAGACGAAATGGAGGTGATCTGATCATAGTTTTCTTAGAAATAAGCACTTAATAAACATTGATCCTTTAATTCAGATCCTTGTTACCCCAAGACGTTACCCGAAAACACGGAAAACGTCAGAAACGAAAGCAGTTCAGATAAAAGGTCACGAAATGGCAAGGCTTCACATAATTTTCTGGAGTTGAGATTCAAAAAGGTTTTTCCTAAATGCACTCTTTTCATACCTGCATTACATTGCGTTTTTTCCCTGGAAGGGGAAACACGGAGGACGTGAGAGCAACCTGTTTCTGCAGAATTTCGGTCAAGGACATTTTCATATGTTATGCAACGATAATCCTTTTAATTATCGTGCTTTTTTCCCTTGCTTAAACTAAAAGAGCTTTCCTTCTGTGTCTCTGCTTTCCATCGCAGAAAAGATTTTCTAAATTTATTAACAACTGTTAAGGATTTATGGGAAAGGTGGCTGTAACGTAATTATTTACATACTTTGAAACGTGGCTTCTTGTTTTGTTTCATACTAACTTCCTTTGCTACTTTTGAATCCTGGTTAAGATACCCTTCTGAATCATAAAGCATAAACATAGATGTTCATGAAGCCTGCTTAGGTACGTTGGCATACATTCCAAGGAAAACCCGAGGCAGGCCACAGGAAAGGCTTAGACAAAAGAACTTATTGTCCTCATCGTAGTGTGCTGATTTGAAAATGTAAGGAAAAGCTAATTTAAATTCTGGTAAACACTCGATAGAAGCTTATAATAAGATACTTAAGAACTACTTATTGTAATTGACTTGACTATGAATCTCAGACATTATTGCATTGCCTCAAATCCGACTGTAGGCAGGGTGCCTGGTATAAAGTGAAATGGTACTAGTCCTCCGCCCTCTCTTAGAAGGGCATTTCACTAAGACGAGGGCCTGTGCTATCTCTATTCATTAGGCCCTTTCACCTCTCTCGAGCTATCGATTTGAAAGGCGCAATGGCCCTTGTTCTTGGCCAGCTTAGCAGTAATCAAGGAACAATGAATGCAGCGCTAAACCGTAATGTACTTTTGACTAATTCATTTAAAAGGATGCTCAGCCCAATCTCAACTGAGCCAAGACACAAGCAGGTGCCGTGGCTTTTAGGTCTCAGTGCGCAAATCTCATCATAGGCTGGGCTAGGCTCACAGGATTGATTCCTTGCCAGTTTAGCCGAGGACAGTAAGTGATGAAATTGGTTCCTTCTAATGAATTCCCCCACTTTTTGTCCCTGCGCAAGTGCCATGTGCCATGGTGGTCACATGGACCTCTCGTCCTTGTCCTCAGACACACACACACATTCGACCACAAGCTCTAGAGCGCACACACGAACAAAAGCCCATGGCCCAAGTCTATGTCAAGTTTGAGTGGCTGCCATACTCCATCGCCCCTCCTCCTCCTAGCCTCATCTCAGAGCCATCTCAGCCTCAGCCGCCTGCACTCAAAAAAATGTTTCCGCCGACACATTTCTGACAGCGGGTACTGTCACGACCCTTTGGTCGCGGAGCTCACCCAGGGGTGTACCTTGTTCAGGAATTCTGGAAATTTAGGAAACTGTTTTTAAATTTAAGACAACATTTCCGGACATTTTTCTCTGGGTCAGAGAAGCTGACAGCATTGACGGCACTTGGAAGACTGCCAAAAACTACACACAATCTGCAGAGCTAGCAGAGATTGAGTGATAGCGGTAGTGGCAAACGGGTTTTTAATTAAATTTCGCCCTTTCCTTGCCAAAATGCGCCAGTTTGAGCCATCCGTTTGGGCAATATGTTAGAACAAGATACAAAGAAATGTTCATAATAGAGAATGCCACGAGGTACAGCAAATCATTTGTACCCTGCGAAATGAACCGTGGATCAAAGACAAGTTCGTCTGAGCTGAACAGACTGAACAGACTGAACAGCAACAGTCTGTCTACCGGGAGAAGCGGTTTGCATAACAATTAGGAAACTAAGGCACTGTCAGCCAATGATTTGTGCAAATGTTTTTGACGTCGCCCTCAAGCTCTGCCTTCCCCAAGCTCGCTCATAGCTATAGCTTGAACTTTCTGCATTTGCATAATAATTACAGCGAAACTTTCGTTGCTCGCGCTTGGAAAAGTGACGCCAAAATTAATTGCACTGCAAAACATGAGCACCCCATTCTCCTGCTACTTGTCAATATTCTCCGCCGAATTTCTCTGGACCATTTGTTGCCTATTAACTTTTGATCAAGGCCACAAAAAATACCTTAAACACACACATACTTAATCTTCTTCGGGTTACGTAATTGGGTTTTCGATTATTTGGTAACTTACATTGATAACTGTAGGAGTATAGTTGGCTATCGAGCTTGATGTTCTGGTAGGGTAAGTATCTGAAACGACGACAGAAAAATGTTATTTGCATTGAGAGGGAGTTAGAGAAAGATAAGTTTACTTTTATAAATTCAACTTATAGAATTTCTTTTCCTCAAAAGAAGTTCTTCTTGCGATTCGATCAGTGCTCTTCTCATATTACTTCCGATCTTTTCTATCTTCTGATTCTCGGAACAATCAAACTGCTAACTTTAAATAAAGAAATATGGTTTGTCTACCTACCTAAAACATTGCTAAAATTACCTTCAGTGGACAACTTGCAGTTTCTTAAAACTGACCCTAACAGATGGTATCGTTGGCATAACAGCACCCTGTTAGCTTGCACAATTTGCAAGTACTGAAGAGAAAAGCTAAAGTAAAGCTGAAACGAGTAGACTGCAACATGACATGTCGAATAAGTAAGCTTTAAAGATTTAAAAATTTAAAGACAGTCCCAGCCGGTTAAGAGTGCTGCTAGCACTCGAATGCATTCGATCAAACTACTTTAGTCTACTCTTAAACAGCTTGCAAATAGAGAATTCCCAATGGGCATGGCTAATTATAAATAAAAGTAAATGCAAGACGAATTTATTGAATTTGTGTTGCGAATCGCATTATCCTAATAAAGTAACACCGACCTTATAGCAGAAATTAAAAGTATATTAGGTTCTGGAATGGCATTGCGCAAATTTATACATATTCAAAGGTTCTCACTAAAAAAATTCTCACTAAAATTAACTAAACACGCAGCATCAGCCGTACTATCCAAAAGACCGAGATGCCTAACTTCGGTTCTAGCGCTTTCCCCAGCAACTTTCGGAGAACCCTAATCTAGGGTTCAAGCCGCACATACCCACATCCGCAGCCCCCTGAGCAACCCATTTTCCTTCGTTTCAATTCAATCAACCATTAAGCATAAGCCGTCGACCGAGCAGCCCCAACGCATGTCATGCTGACGATGACATGCCCTCTGGCCACGGAGAAAGGTGTCAGAACACCGCACTACAGGCGCACCTGTCCCGCTCCCAGTCCCTGTCCTCCGCCCTGCTCTCCATCAGAATACCCCTGGCCGTGCCCCTGACCGGGAGACTGACTGACAGTTTTGCGTGCCTAATTGTTGGAGGAAGTTAGAAAACATTTCGTTGTCATGGCAAAGCGGGCTGCCCCGAAAACGCCCTTCTAGTGCTTGGGCTGAGTAAGATATTCACTAGTTGGGCTAAAAAAAACAAGAGTGTTTAAAAATAAAAGCATTAAAGTGAATAACCAATTCAGTTTTTCAACTGGCAGACAAAAGGCTGAAGTCTTTTGAGCATAATGCATAGATTACTGACTGTTTTCCAAACTTCCTCACCTAATTTCTTTCTGAATGAACATCATATGTAATCAGTAGCAAGCATTTGCAAATAGTTTTCCTTAAGATTTACTCCCAGCACTCGAATCCGCACCTGTTGTTCGGCAGTTCTAATTTTACGACTGAATGGGTTCCGAGGTCTGGGTCTAGGAAAGTGTAAAACGCAAAGGAAAACAAAATGCACAAAAGAGCTTATTGCGGTTAACCACAGAACGGTAAGCCAATACCAATAGGGAATCCAGCGAAAGGGCCAGGAGCTTGTTAACCCATGTCGACTGCCAACCTTTCCCCTAGACCTTTATAATCTACATTAGGCGGGCGTTGACTTGTATGGTTATGTACTTAGCCAAAAGCTAAAAACAAATAATAAAAATATAAATTATTCCGTTGTGGACGAATGAAAAGATATTAGCAAAACAACTTTTCTTGTTATTCTTAATTTTTCTCATTTTTCACAATCTCCTTTGAAGAGTTTTCTCAGTTAACCCATAAGTTACTTATAATAGAAAGGCTTACTTGATAAAGATTAGTTTAACGGGATACTGTGCGCTATGCTCTGCAGAACCTAACATATTAACATTACCTAATCGAATATCATTAAAATATAGAAGTGTAAAAAACGTTGCTGCTTAAGATGCAAGAAAAATTTGTTTTTTGAGATGTTCCAGTCGCGGCCATGGCAAAGAAATCGATGTGTAAGCGCAGGCAAGCATCGCCATTGCGTCGGTTATAATTTTGTGGACGACCCTCTGTGGATGTCGGTCAGACCTCAAAGTTACTGAGGAAATCGCAAGGTTCAATAGGTCAAAAGGGTGTTACTGGTACAATAATCCATTATTTATTATTTCACTTAATTTGAATTTAATTTTATAGGCGAATAACGGATGATTTCGAACATGCGAGAAGCTCCACAAATAGCTCCACAAGATGGAGATACATACATACTCGTCATCTATGATTTTTAGATCCCCTAATAGTGAATCTAAATCCAACATCTCAGAATGAATCTTACTTTTCTATTAAGTGGTTTATGTACATCTTAAAAATCCAAATCTGAATCCAATCGTCATTCCCATGAAGAGATTTACATGCATACCCTAATGAGTAAAACTAAATTCAACATCTTGGACTTGCTTAGAAGATATTTAGTGAACAGATTTGTGAACTTCCGGCTGGACTTTCCCTGAGTAATTGTTTCTCTTTCTGTTTATCCCAAGACTGGGAATCTTGGCCAGCTTATCGGGACCAAGGTTCCGCGTAATCCAGCCACACCAAAATAACTTTCCTTATCACCACTATGCGACATGCAGTATAGCTTTCAGCCGGGTGATCCGAGATCTGAGGCTCCATGGACAGCTCTTACGTAGGGCTGTGTACATGCTCCACGAATGTGTTCCGTTGGCGAGGAAAACATTTGCTCAGCGATCGTTTGGTTAACCAGCGTGCTCTAATCATACTAATGGAGTAAATAGACGGGTGTTTATCAAACAAACACAGTTCAAGATAGCGAGAGACACATGGAACTACACACTGGATATTTGTCCAGATAATTGTCGAATATTATATTATTAAACTGGAAAATGGAACTTTAATTAAAGGAGCCACACTGTCAGTTTGAACAACCTGGATTCAAGAGCATAATCATTTCGCAGTCTAAACGGAAGCAGCTTTTACGAAGCTAATATCTCATTAAAACATATCGCTTATTAGTATAAATTAGGAACTAATGCGCCTCTCATTGGGCTTTCATTGACACCCCCGAAAACTATTTTTATAATTCGTCCGTGTTAAGTAAGTTGTTTATTTTTGGGAATTTGCTTAGTGACAATGTTTAGCCGAAAACGACGACAAGATTAATGGGGGCTCCGGGCATTTAACGAGCTGTTTCTAAAGAAAACAAGCAGGGAACAAATTTTTAATAGGTTAACAAACGTTTTGTTAATGCGAAAATAAAAGGCGATTGAGAAGGTAACCAATCTAAATGAGGGGAATTCCGAACGATCGAATAATGTACAAGCTTTCTCGAAAAAGATAACGAACGATTTGCTGGCTTTGATTACTTTGACCAAGAACCTTATCGAGTTCCTTGTGGTCTAGACCCGCACGCCTATTAACTATTACCAGAGAAAAACCCAGAAAAAGCGACAGTCACAGCCTGCGTGCGTTTTCTCAGCCAAAAGTGATACGGCTGAGAGCATTACTACTTCCTTGATATTATACAGGTTATTAACAGATTTTGGATTTTGATCCTTCCTAAAGATCTAATATCTTAAGAGTCATGTATGGTTGGGCACATATGTATGTATTTCCGGTCCGTAAGCCGATTCAAGAAGCGGAAACCGAGAGGACGCCAAATCGCGGCAACAAAGGCAAGGGCCAGCCATAGTTAGCCATAATAGACCAGATATAAAGTAAACTTGTACAATTGTACGGCATTATCATCGAACTTACATCACACACAGCGGCAATTTTCGATTTTTGTGCGGCTGCTGATGGTTTAGATAATTTGCTTTATTTCGATATTGCTGTTGCTGTTGTTGTTATTGTTATTGCTGGTGGTAGCCGCACGAAGTTGAAATTTGAAATTTGAAATTTGATTTCTTTTGATTTGGCTTTGTGTTTGGAGCTTTGTTGATTTTTCGTTGGCTTTTTGGCTGCTCTTTCGGGCGAAAATAAAAGAAATCGCTGCTGTTGCGTTTGTTGTTGTTGTTGCTATGGTTGTTGTTGTTCCCTGCTTCGCTGGCCGTTTTCTATGAATGGAAGAGGCGTTAAGTAAAAGCAACAACTGCAACACGAAAGAAGAAGACGAGGCGTGACGCGACGGCAGAAAAACCGAATCAGTGGGGGAAGTAAGACGAATCGAAACGAAACGGGTTTTCACATTCTTTGTAGCATAGTGTCGTGGCCCTGGAGAAAGAGAAGGAGCGATAAGCCGAATGCACGCCAAAACGAACAGCTGCGCCGTTTTAGGCTTTTACACTGGCCAACACACTTGCCGTGGAAGAGAGTGAGTGGTGGAGAAGGGGACTAAGGAAGAAAGCTGGACAGGGAGGCAGCAAAGTGCATGGCAGGGCCAGCTGATTCTGATTGGGATTTTCAGGCATGCCACATGCAGCGGCAGAAACAAAAACAACAGCCTCCCTCTCTATCACTCTACCTCTCTCTCTCTCTCTCTCTCTCTCTTTTCTTATGCTGCAAATTGAATTGGCTGTTGCACACACACTCACGGCACAAACATTTAAATTTGTTTTTCCTTCTTTAGCCCCGTTTCAACGACGATTATGTGTTTTGGTTTGGATCCGTGGGACGATCTTTATCTTTATCTTTATCTTTATCTGCATCTTTATGTTGCGATGCTCAGGCTTTCTCCGCACCGCACTGCACACACACCTTGATTCGCATTCGCTCCTGCCTATTCCGAACAACTCATTTATTTTCAAAGCCTTTTTCCGATTGGCACGCGCATCCGCTGCCCGTTCACACGCGAAAGAACCCAACCGTTTCGCTCGAAGTCTCAAAATATTTTGTGTGGTTCACTTTTATGCAAAAACATGAGACCTGCCCACAACTACGATTTTCGGACTATTTATTTTTATTATTTTTCACAATAAAACTGTCTGCAGCTGCTTCTTGAAATTGCCACCGGCCGAGCTGGAAGTCCAACTGATTCCAATCCGATTCCACAAGGTACAAAGTGGAATTCGGAACCGCACGGAGCACGACACGAGAGAGAGCACTTTGCAGTATTTTTTAACACAAGGGCTGCATTAGCAGCAAATGGTCACTCTAGTCAGCTGATTTCGAACGCCGCCTTCCAGTTTACTCACTCTTTTTCGAAAATTTAACTAAGCAATGGGTTTATTAAAAGTTACTTGGGCAGTGTTGCCAGTTTAGCTTATTATAGGCAAGTTCTGCCATATTTGGAAATGTTTGTATAATTTGTATCTAGCTTAAACCTTGAAATAAACATGGCTTATTTTAAATTGTATCTATCATATTCCAGCTTTAAATATATTTGCGACATCGACGGTTTCTTTTGCAAGAAATAAATGCTTTATAGCATGGAAATATCGAAGCTTGTTTTTTTTGCTGATGGTTATGATCGTAAATTTATTTTTAATCTGCAGGTATAGAAAATGTAGATTATTGTTTACCCTTACAAAAAACATTATAAATATAACAATAACCTTTGAAGTGATGTTTTTTCTCTCGGAAACATTAGCAATGGATATTTAAAGACCATAGACCATAAAGAACATAGCCCCCAATGATTTTTGCCACCGACTTAAAATCATAAAATGGGTTCATGTTTTCTCTTATTTGGGTGTAGCTTGTTTTTTTTGATTTTTTTAGTTTTAGCTTATTTTAGCTTAGTTTTTTTAAAAATCTAGTTTATATGGGCGCTCATAACCTGGCAACACTGAACTTAGACCTTCTACGCCCCCGCCAGTGTTAGCAATACGTTTTGATGATAACTAGCGCCATGCGGACGGGAAGAGAAATCGAAATGTTGGTCGAATATGGAAATTTAAGACAAGGGAAATTAATTTTTGTTTGGGAATTGTTTAGAAATGCCAGTTCAAGCATTTCCTGATTTTTAACAGCCAAGATAAGATAAGGAGGGCTTGCAAACCAGGTTAACTTGGTTGATTTTGGGGTTCTGCGATTCAGGAGACAGAAATAGTAGGACATAAGTAGGGCATCTCAATATGTGAGATAGTAAAGAGATGAAGACCCATCATCCGAGCGTGGCATTAGTTTTAATAAATATAACCGGCATGAGGAAAAATATATCTTTATCCGTATACTGTGAACATGCCGGCATTTGTAGAAATTGGCAAATGGTTGAAAGTCCTAGAGTTCGGGCAGTTATGAAGTTTTTCATTTAATTACATTATATCTACACAGGCGCCTTAACTTTTTTTTCCGCAATGGCGCCTTGGCTGCGATCAAATGTTAGCATGCAACGACTTTCGAACAGAAGTGTTAAGTACACATTTTCTTAACAATGAGAGAGAAACGGTTGAGGGCCAAGCCTTATTTGCCCAGCAAACCCAGCAACAACCCAACAGCTGAATGAATTCTACTTCTACTCCGCATTGCAGAACAAGAGGTTGCTTCCGAAAAATTCAAATTACGCAAAAAACGCAAATGAGCTTATATATTTTGAATTCATAATTGAAAAATCTACAACACTCAATCCACAAAACCCTTTGCAAAGTTTGCAAAGTGACAAGGAGATATACAAATTGTTAGAAAAATACGAACGAAACACACAACGTATTAGTATAAAAAATAGTATTAACCTGAAGACTCAATATTAAATTTGAATTATATTATTTAATGATTTTTTCTAAGAGATATGCCAATTTGAAGTTGCACCAAAAAATTAACATTGTTAACAGCATGTATTTTAACAGTAAACCGTTAAATTAACATTTTAGGTATGTAACATAGCACTTTGATCATTTCTTAAGATGGTAAGATTGAAAAAAGGGAAATTTGCATAGTTTCGAAAAATGAGTTTTGGCCCCAAAAACGGGTCAAATTTCAGATAGTGCACTAGAGAGCGGGGCGTGTCGCTCCTTTTTCTACAACTTAAATGTTAAACAACATGCCCTGCCACTGTTAGAAAAACGTTTTACCTATGTTCACACTTCCATTAAAATATTTACATTTGAACTCGCCGCTTAAAAAGGCGAGTTTTTAAATTGGATCTCTCCGAGTCTGAGACTCCTAGTTCACAACAATCTGTGTGCATACATGCTAGCATAATCATTTCTAAAGGCTTCTTACAATTTGTTACTGCGAAGACATCTTCAAGGGCGACGCCATGAAGGGAATTGGATAGAAACGCCAAAATGAGCAACGAATCGGTGTACAGATTATCTGAAAAGGATTCATACAACTACTAGTGTATTTTTTTCGGACATCACCACTTTACCTGACTATAATTCTTACTCTAACGGCTAATTAACCATCACTTAGAAAGGCGAATACGATAGTTTATTTCCACAACTCAGGGTCAAAAACTAAACATTTAATTTTTACGATTTTTAATACAAAACTGTTAGATCTTACAAAAAGAGATCTTTACAAAAATTGACAGTTTAATACATTTTTATTTAACACAATCTTATCAGGGATCCAAGAGAACTTCATTATCAGAAGAGGGCGAGAAATTGAAATACCTTCGGTCCGCTAAGCTGCTTTTGTACATCGAACTGACTTAGGCGTCTGAGAAAGGAACGGATAAAATGCACAGGGTCAGGTTCAGATTTCCGTGGGCCTGGGGTCTCACTTAAAGCTGCCGCTGTTAAAGTCTCCGGGCGGGCTAGTAGTCCCGATCCCGTTCCAGCTTGATGCATTTCTTCTGCATTTGCGCCAGCAGAGCCTCCTGCCGCTTTAGATAGGTCAGGAAGTTCTGCTCCATCGCTAGGAACTGCTTCTCCTTCTGCTCAAGCTCCAGTAGATAGGCGTCGTTCTGCTCCTCAAGTATTTTGTTATCCTTGCGCAGCCCCTCTACTAGGGCCATTGTGATCTGGCCAGTGCGTGGCAGGATGCTTCGTCGACCTCGCCTTCTCTTTGACGCGGATCTATCAGTCTCAGGCTGGCCGTTTGCGAGACCCGTACACGGCGTGTCCTCTGCCTCCAGCAACTGGTGGTTTGCTGGCATCAGAGGTGCCCTCCTGACTGCATTTTCAGCATGACTTTCTGGCGGATAGTGTGCCCTCGCATAGGGTAATTGCGCCTCTGTGGGCTTGGGTTCAGTCTTCACCTGGTGACGGTAGGCATCTTGGCAAGACTCCGCCTTCAACACTGGAACTGCTATTGACTGGGAATCCAGGAAAGCACTTCCGTCCGGATCGCGCTCGAATTTAACCAAGGCGGAGGTCGGGAGGAAAAGGGGCGGCAGAGCAGGCAGTTCCGCCCGGGCCCTTGTGGCTGCCTCCTCCAGGACATTATGGGCGTGGAAAAGGTTCGCGGGTGCTTTGGCAGGATGGAACAAGGAGTCAATCAGCGAGTATAGGCGCCAGTCTGACAGGAAGTCTGGGTTGCTCTGGGCGCGGTTGCGCTCGTTTCTGTGGACAAAATAATCTTATAGGATTTGGAGCAACGCGAAGCAGCTGTTGCTTACAAATACTTATTGCGATAGCTGTTTATGCGCCGGCGAGCCTCCTGCTTGTTCAGCCGAATACCGTGCTGCTGCAGTCCGTTCGCAATCTCCCGGAAAATGGGCAGGTTGTCCGTGTAGGAGGGAATGTCGTGCAGGTGCTTTCGCCACAACCTCACCAGCATCGCCTCCTCCAAGGAGGTGTAGTAGCGCAATCGCAGATGCTTCTGGCCACTCATTTCCAACTAGCCCAGGGGTTCTCCGGTCCGTCTATCCAAACATTTTGGTACGTGACCGAGTACCACTCATAGACGGCTTTAAAATGTCGAGAGTTCTTTTACTGAGATGATACCACATATTCATCGCACACATCATCGGCCTTCTTTGATACATTCACACTGGACCCGGCCTAAAAAATTTAAAGATTTTCGACAACATTTCTCCTCTTCTATCTTCTTCATAACATTGAATGAATTAACTTTATTTATTGATACCATTGATTGATAAAAATATTCGGAAAATGTGTAAATTAACTCTTGAAGACAATATAAATTAAAATAATTATAAAATAAATCAATTTTTGAATACCATTGTAATTGTCGAATACACAACATATATTTTCTCGAGAACTTAATTGATTAAATTTATTTAATTTATTTTATATTCCGCCATAAATTAACTTTATTTGTTGACAACAATAATTGTTAGAAGTATTCCGATAAGGTTTAAATTAATTCTTGAAGACAATATAAATTAAACTAATTATAAAATAAATCAATTTTTGAATACTTTTGTAATTGTCGGATAAACAACATATATTTTCTCGAGAACTTAATTGATTAAATTTATTTAATTTATTTTATATTCCGCCATAAGCCAGTGAAGATGAGTTATTTACAGTTTAAGGATTTCCCTAGATCAAGCAAATACCTAAGTACGGTCACATTGTTCTGTGTATCGGTGCTGTTGTTGATTTTTTGTGCAAAAAAGTTGGCGTTCCATTTCCTTAAAGCGTTGCATTGTGTAATTTAAACGCTGCCAACAGAGATCAGCAAGACGAGGAGTGCCGAAACAGGGCAGCAGCAGCAGAGCAGTCGATGGACTACGAGAAGCTGTCGCTGAACGCAGGCGGTGGCAGTACAGCCGGCGGTGGTGGAAACGGGGGCGGAGGCAGCGGCGCCGAACAGGATCTGACCATGTGCGGCGGACAGGATCTACTGGACGGTAGAGCCAAAGAGAAGGCCCGCCGCTACTGGACACCCAGCGAGGAGGAGCGTCTGTATGAGATCTGGGGCCGCGACAACTGGCGGCTGACGCGTACCGGAAAAAACACCATATTTTTTGGACGGTGGGCTGAGGAGCTACGCGAGCGGTTCGCCGTGGACGTGAAGCCGGAGGAGATCCAGATGAAGGTCAACCAGACCAGAGCCAAGTTTAGGTAGGTGCTCATTAAAGAACACTTTAAGTTGTGCTAACCATTTTGGACCACCAACAGACAGGTAAAGAAACAGCTGCAGGCTGATCCGTCCAGCCAAGCCACACGCTGGAAAAAATACGACATCATCAACCGCATCCTAAAAAACCTGCACAGGCCGAAGAACGCGGATCCGCTGCCGCCAGAGGCCCTGCTCAATAACCGCGACATGACACCGCCCCGGGACGATATGTCAGCGGAACTGCTTCAACAACAGCAGCAGCATGCTGTTCAGCAGCAGGGTCTGGGACTTGGCGGTGAGCCGCCTGCTTCCACCTTTTACAACAGCAGCAGCAATAGCAATCATGGCAGCAGCCACAACAACAACAACAGCGGCGGGATGAGCTTTAGCACAGAGCTATTCACGGATCAGTACGACGAGGTGGTCAAGCAAGAATACGAAGACGACGAGTACCGCTCTTTACCCTTTCAAGAGCAGCTGCAACAGTATTCGCCAGCCGAGCCGGCTCAGCTGCTTGAGTTACAGACGCCACAACAGCAGCAGCAGCAACAGCAACATCAGCAGCAGCAACAACAGCATCAGTTTCAGCAAAGCTATGGGCCACAGTTTCAACAGCAGCCGGCTCATTTCAATAACAACAGCGGAAGCAGTGCTGTGGCAACCTCGACCGTTAACCACCAACCTATCACGGCGGTAGCCTACATTAATAGCAGTAATAACACCATCAGCGTGGCCACCAACGCGAATGGAAGCATGGCGGCGCCGGTGTCGGTCCAAGCTGCAGGCATAGCTCCCGCTGCTGCTCCTGCTCCTGCTCCTGCTCCGGCTCCGACCTCTAATCCTCCCGTCGTTGGCGCCTCCCCTGTGCCCGTGCCGCGGAAGCGTGGTCGCCCCTACGGATCCGTGAACCCACCACAAGCTGACTCGCTAGAGGCCCTCTACATGGAGGAGGTTCGACGGAAGAACCAGCTACTCTATGAGCAGACCAAGATATGCCGGCAGCGCCTGGAATTGGAGGAGCGTAAGGTCGGCCTTATGCAGAACTTCTTTCCCAAGTGCTTGGAGCAGCAGGCGCAGATTCTAAGCCACTTTGTGCAACTCCAGCAGCAGGAGCCCTCTCACCAGCCACATCAGCTTTCTACGGCTCAGCGGCCGCAGTGAAACCTTTTCAGACTTCAAAAACCTCAATTTCTGACCGTAGTGTATGGACATTTGTTTTAGTTACTTGGTTGCTGTGTCATGCCGCTTATGTGTGTTTATCAGTACCACAGAACCTAACAAAAACAGGCTACACTGTTTGTAATATTAAGAATAAACGTAATTAATAAATAAATATAAAATCAAGATTAAATCACTCGACTGCAAATTTACAAATCGCTGACTAAGGATATAGCTTGATCTTTTTCATGATTGACTTAATCATGAGTTGGATCAAAAGAGATGGATATGAGTTATTGCATATTAAAAAGTAAATTTGAATCGAACAGAAAGGCATATTTAGTAACTGATGCACCTATTAGATTATAAGACGAACTCAGATTCCGGGTTTTGATTCTGTTCAAGCCTAGTCAGATACTACTAAAATAGTTACTTTTTAGAACATTACTTCTTTAAAAAAATACATAAAAAAATTTAAATGGGCTTATTACTATTGTCCTATTACCAACTTGTCCTTATAGTAGAAAAACAAAATAGTTCGGGGAAATACGAATCTTTGTATTTTATATAGAGAAGCGGAAGCAGAACACAGACAATTCTTTCTTTATAGTTTTAATTCAATGTATTTTCTTATGTTTTTGGTACCTGATTCACCGCTCAGTAGAAGGTAATGAAAATCCGACACAAAGTATACATATTGACTGTTAACTATTACGCGTATGAAGCGGTTCCGGATCCTTTGTGTGAATATTTATTAGTTTTGATCAGGCAGAGTCAAGTAGCCAGAACTGGAACACGAAATGGGCTGTAACCATTCCAGCATACACAGCGCAGATTTCTAATTTTTCCTGCATATTCCATTGCCTGTTCCATGCCAGAATTCGAGAGTTGCTTCAATTTGTCTAAAAATTTAGTGTAGACTTGAAACTCTAGTATATGTGTTTTATTTTTGGTTAGACAATAAATTAGAAGTTTGGTCCTTAAATTGTGTTCAAATATAAATATTGTTTAAATATACATTTTGATGTTTAATTTCAGTGACGTCTTGCTGTGTTTTTCATTATTATATTTATTTTTAGCTTGGTATAAAAGAGGTATACGATATCAATTAGTAACACGCCCAAATGGAAGGACTCCTATTCCGATCGAAAGCAATAAGGGCTTAAGTTGTAACGGGTACTGGGACTTAATGAAAGTAATTATTAGTTAGTCTCGTTTCCACCTATTAAGTGGGTCTTTCGTTATGGGTTTCGTGCCAATTGGTCCAAAATTAATATCATCCGATACGCCCAGAAAGAGCCAGTTCAGTAGCTTGAGATTTCAGTAGTCCACAGTTCAGTTTTTTGTATAGTCTTAGATTCCGCGTGGCCGTTCAGTTATGTACGGTGGACTTAGCTTAAGTGCTTTTATGCTGTTGGCCCAGTTAGCATTCGGTTACGTTTCTCCAGCAGAAGGAAAGTACAAAGCGCGAGTGAAAAGCCCCTGGAAAATAAAAGAAACAATATACGGCTTGGGAAGCAGTCTGATACTGTTTAATGGCACTTGGAAAAATGGTAAGCTGTGCTAGTCTCAAGTTTTGCTTAAAAATTCTTCTAGAGATGATCTCTTCAAATAAGAGTGGGGAGTAGAATTCCAAAGGGAAGTTGGTGTAATGACCTTTTCCCTGAAGAACTTTTTAGCGATTTCCAAAACGTGAAGTTTTTCTTCTTAGAATTAACTTGTGCTGTCTTTTTGCACCCGTTACTCGTAGAGTAATTTAAACGGGATCAATTCTTTATAGGGATCAATAGCCGAGTCGATTTGGCCATGTCCCCTTCTTGTCCGTATGAACCCTGCGATCTCAGGAACTGTAATAGGTAGAGTCTTGGTAATAAGAATGCGCATTCAACGCATGCCTACGTAGCTCAAGTTTGTTTATCCGGCCATGCCCATTCCATCGCCATTGACCTTTCTTAATATTTGATTGTCACCACCTATCATTTTACAAAAATTGTAAAATGATTAAATCGGTATGTTTTTGTATTGGATATTCGACCTCAAATAAAAATGTTATAAAAAACTTTCTAGGCCACTTTGAGTTTTGTTTTATTTTGAGTCTTAGAGAAAAAATATATAAGAATTGTATTTATTTTTTTTATTTATTTTATATGTCATATACCCTGAAAAACTAAGAATATGTTCGGTTCAGTTTTATCTTGATTGTTGGTTAAATTCGAAAATTTGTATATATGAATAATAATAAACAACCTAAGGAACTCATAAAGCATATTAGCACTATATAAAGAGAACGATTTTTAATCCGAAGTGGCTCTAGGTGACTCTATTACTGCAGAAGCTCATGCAAGGCTTAATCATGCATAAGTTAAGCGGCCATTAAAAGATAGTGACCAACGATACTCTACCACAGGAATTTAATATTAGGTGTTTCTGTTCGATTTTGGCATGTTACTGCTCAGTCGCTTTTCCATCAATTAGATATGTATATTGTCCTAGGATTTCACTAATGAATGGTCGACCTGTGCCGTCACTGGGTACCATGTTTGTGCTTGGCTCACGATAAACAACCCTTTCGTGGTGACCGCTGTGATCTCTGTAGGCTAGTGTAAGTTTTAAGAGAGACGCCATACTCAGGGCATCTGGCAAGGCCAGGTCGAGCTCACTGGGTAGCTCGCTCTCGCTCTCGCACGCTCTTTCGTCGACGACGGCTGCGCTAATTGCTGTGTGGTTGTAATTGATTTCTGATTGGGAACTCGGTTCCAGTCGGGTTTCAGCCGCGCCGCCGAGAATTACGTACGAGCTGCGGGATCCGCGGAGTGACAATTGGAAATTTGATCAACTAAGATTTTGGCGGAATCGAAAATGCACGGAAGATCGCCACTGAACATCGTTGTAGCTCTCTTCCTCATCGGCTGCCTGTGCCCATCGTTGGCGGCGGTGATCGGTCGCGCCGATGAGTCAGGGGAGGGGAACAAAACGGCGTGGGAACTCACGGAAGCCCTATATGGAACTTCGGGGCTCCGGAGTTTCAATGGCACATGGATAACAGGTTGGTGGCTCACCGGGTCGGTTCGACGACCTAGAAACGTTGTTTTGCATTAACTTCACTCTGTCCCCATGTTTTCGGCTGTTATCATCCTGAGGTTTCCCGCGGGGAATTATCATCTTCAGTTACGTCCGCGGGGAATTATCATACGGGGAATTCCTACAGCAGCACCCACTTCTTAATCAACGGGAGCTGCGACCCTTATCAATGAGCTTATTTACTTATGGTATTCTCAGTCCGGCTGGTGCTGGACCATTCATTTTCCTATAGTGGATCTGCCCAGAAAAGAACCACATCTGCAGACTGCAGTTCTTTTCAATTAGCAAGACTTCTCACAAGTTAGCCGTTCAACACATGAAATCTAATCTGTACGAATTACGATCATCAGCTTGTGCCTCGATAGTACGATTATATTTCCCTTCTTATCTCCGACATTTGGTTTTAGATAATGCTTGAAAGCTTTTGATTTCTCCTGATTGAGTATTTCCTAGTTATATAATTAGGAAGAGTGGGAAAATTTAAGTCTATTCTGCTTTATATGTTGGTATCCAGAATTTGGGTGTCCCTCGACTCTTTGATGATTTTGGCGAGAGCGTTAAGAGTTGATTTAATTTTCATCAATAACAGTATTACCAAAGTAACTTTGTTCGTCTTTCCAATAATTTTGCATTACAAAAACAGAATAATTTTCTCGCGTTCCTGAGTAGGATTTCCAGCTTTAACAGCAGAATAGGGCTGACAGATCGAAGCTGAACAACTAATAAGTCATAAGCCGATGTTTTGCAGTGTTTTCTTAGCATTTCTGATGACTGGAATTAGGGCATCTCCCCACTTCACCAAGACAACACATTGTTTCCCCGGTGCCAGATTTCTCTTACTCAACTTTCGACGTTCCAAAAAAACATTTTTCCATTTCTGGCAATATACCAAATTTAACGATCCAACCGTCGAAATCCAATTCAAACAGCTGAAGCTTTAATTTCACAATACTTTTTTTACATATACCTAAGTAGTTAGTTAGAGTGATTTAGAAGCTTCAGAATGTTTAAGCTGGAGTTTAAGTTTATTTTAAAACTGTAATGATATTGTGGTTCCTAACTTAACAGAAATATTAGTAAGTAAATCCTTTACTCTTTGCAGATGAGGAGTTCTATTACACTGCTACCGACAGATCTATCCACAAGTTCAATGCGGCCACTAAGGCAGACGTGATCTTCCAAAACTCCTCATTCTTGGTAACGTACTTGGCATACTCATAAACGGAGCGGCATAAAGAGGTGTTTCTTTGCAGAACAACTATGTGGGGGCAACGTTCTCACTTTCGCCCGATAACTCGAAGATCCTCATCCGGCACAACCTCACGGAGAAGTTTCGGCACTCATACATAGCGCAGTACGACGTGTTCGACATTGAGAGCAACACAACCGTCCAAATCCACAAGGGCGAGAAGCTGCAGTACTGCGGATGGTCGCCTCTGCGGGATCGGTTGGCCTACGTCTACCTCAACAATGTGTTCATCCACTTCAGTGAGAGCAGTGAGATCGCCATAACGGACGACGGCGTGGACGGGGTGGTATACAACGGAGTGCCCGACTGGGTTTACGAGGAGGAGGTGCTGAGCAGTGGAAGCGCCCTCTGGTGGTCGCCGGACGGAACCAAGCTGGCGGTGGGCTTTTTTGACGACACCGATGTGGAGACCTTTAACTATTTCCTTTACGGTGATGGGGACACAACCTTCTATCAGTATCCGCACGAGGAGCAGCTCAAGTATCCGAAATCAGGCTCCAAGAACCCACTGGTGAACCTTAGGGTGTATGACGTGAGCGAAAGCGAGCACGCCATGTATAGTATCGTGGCGCCCGTGGATGTTGTTGGAAGCGATCACATCCTGCAGAATGTTGTCTGGTCCAACGAGACACACCTACTTATCACCTGGATGAATCGCCGCCAGAACCTTTCCTCAATTCAGAGCTGCAGCAACCTGGGCGCCTGTGTGGAGGTTAAGAGGCTGGAGGAGCCCCGCGGCTGGGTGGACATAAGCACGCCCAAATGCCTTAGCAGCGGCAAGAGTTGCATCTTCAGCTACTTCATTGACAACTGGCAGCAAGTGTGGAACCTAGACCTGGAGACAGGGCTCAACAGTTGGCAGTCGCGCGGAAACTTCACAGTTTTGACCGTCTATGGATATGATGAAGCGAGGGACAAACTGTAAGAAACTCATGTTTTCGCATTTAATTCCCGCATCGATCCATGACGGCATAAATATTGTGGAATCAGTCCTAGATACAATGAACTAAGAAATCATTCTATTCCCTAGGTACTACCAGGCCACTCAGGCCGGAGATCCTTCCGTGTACCATGTGTTCAGCAACGACGAGTGCCTTAGCTGCAGCCAAGTCGATGTGGATGGGGACGCATGCCGCTCCGCCTCGGCCACCTTCAGCAAATCCTTCTCTTACTACACGCTCTCCTGCAATGGACCCAATCCGACATACACGCGGATCTTTGAAGCCACCACCAAAACGCTCCAAGTCGAATGGGAGCCAAACACAGCGTATCGCCAGCAATTGGCGCAGAAGCAGCGCCCCACATATCGCTTTTTGAATGTCACTTTGGCCGACGGGAGTCATGGATTCGCCAAGCTCGCCCTTCCGCCCAACTTCGATGAGGCCAAGAAGTACCCGCTGATCGTGGTGGTGTACCAGGGACCCAACTCGGTAAGGGTAACAAATGGGTTTACGCTGGGATACGAGGCGTTTGTCACGACTTCTAGGGAGACTATTTATGCGTACATCGACGGCCGGGGCACGGGAAACAAGGGGAAGGACCTGCTCTTCTCAGTCAATAATGATCTGGGCGATCACGAGGTCGAGGATCAACTGTTTGTCACCCGTTGGATGCAGCAAAATCTGCCCTACGTAGATGCGGAGCGCTGCGGCATTTGGGGATGGAGCTATGGTGGTTATATGACAGCTAAGACCATAGAAAAGGATGACGATCGGATCTTCCAGTGCGGAGTGTCGGTGGCCCCAGTCACCTCATGGCTGTACTATGGTTTGTGGAAACTTTCTTTATTAATATCATTTGCTGACCGATTTCTTCGCCTCCTTCCAGATACCATTTACACCGAGCGCTATATGGGACTTCCCACTGAGGATGACAATTTGCAGAAATACAACGAGAGCAGCGTGTTTGGAAATCTGGAAAACTTTAAAACTCATGACTTCCTGTTGGTCCATGGCTCCGGTGATGACAATGTCCACTACCAGCATTCTCTTTTGCTGGGCAAGTTGCTTCAAAGGCAGGATATTCAGTTTGAGGAGCAGGTTCTGGAATTGATAGCCATTTTTTCCCAGCAAAGCCTACAGCTTGACATCTTCTATTGCAGACTTACACCGATGAGAACCACGGAATCGGGAACGCGCTGCCCCACTTGTACCATACCATCGACGCCTTCTGGATAAATTGCCTTAATCTAGAAGTCTACGAAGACTCGGTGTAGTAAGGCCACAGGCCACATTCTAGTCAAACATACGTATTTGAAACTTTGTTTATGTATTTTTTATTCACTTTCTATTAAAGCTGTCAACTATATAATGTAATTGGAATTTTTTAATGAGGTTTAGGGTTAAATGGTCGAATTATCCGATTATCAATTTTAAGATAGTTTCTAACACATCCATCGATAGAAGTAGATGTTCCAAAACCAATAAGAATGGATCCATTAAAAGGGAGAAAATAAAGAAATTCTGTGCTTAATATGCGTGTGGGCTTCAAGTCCAAGTCAAACGAAAAAAACCAAGGCGGCCAATTACTTAAAATCCCATTAAAGTCATCTATTTTGGCGCTCTTCCGCAAGTTTTGACTTACCACTAACCTACCAGTCTATTTACTAAGGTAAAGCTAAGACTGGAGGAAACGGTTCGACCCTATGACAAGGCAATCGAATTACCTCTTTTATTTTTATACCCGTTACTCGTAGAGTAAAAGGGTATACTAGATTCGTTGAAAAGTATGTAACAGATAGAAGGAAGCTTTTGCGACCCTATAAAGTATATATATTCTGATCAGGATCAAAGCGAAGTCGATTGAGCCATGTCCGCTGTCCGTCCGTCCGTCCGTCCGTCCGTCCGTCTGTCCGTCCGTCCGTCCGTCGTCGCCGCCGTCCGTCCGCCCGTCCGTCCGCCCGTCCGTCCGTCCGTCCGCCCGTCCGTCCGTCCGTCCGTCCGAGAACGCTGAGATCTCAGGAACTATAGCAGATACAAAGCTAGATTAAGCATGAAGATTCGAGGTCCCGGACAGCGCAAGTTTATTACAGCATCCTGCCACGCCCACTCTAACGCCCACAAATCGCAAAAACTAAAATGCTGAAATCCAGGAACTATTGAGATAGAAAGTTGAAATTCAGAAAGTATAATCTTTAGATGACAGCGCATTTTATAGTGCTACTACTATCCGGCCACACCCACCCATACGCCCACAAGGCTCAAAAGACGGTTTTCGGATTTTCTAGAAAAGCTGATATCTCGGTATCTATAAGAGATAGATCGGATCAAGCATGTATGTTTCTATGATGCTCCCAATGCGAATTGTTTTTTTCCGATCACGCCACGCCCACTCTAACGCCCACAAACCGCGGAAAACTGTGGAGTCTATAATATTATTATGAATGCCTTCGTTTGACCTTGTGTAACTTATTTCTGTTAATATCTATCGATTTACAAAAGATTTTTCAAATCGGAACATTATTTCGCTATTTATGAAGAATTTAAGGTTATAAGGCCTCACATGGGAAGTGACGTCACTATAAGCATACTCAACATACTTCCTCTGACAATAGGTGGCGCCTTGTGAATTTCCACTAGCAAAATTAATATTTTAAAATTGTGTAAAACAGTAACGGGTATCTTATAGTCGCGGCACTCGACTATAGCGTTTCCTCTTGTTATACTTAAAAAATAGTATTTTTATATTTCATCGTAATTGTCATTAATGTCATTTTCATTATGTAAATAACTTAACACAGTTTCTGGCATTTTCGAAAAAGTCAAAAGAATTCAATGTATAAAGTAAATTTTATTCTTCAAATGAAAGGATGGTTGCCTGAATGTGGTGATGAAATTAAAACAAATAAACGGTGATAGAAAAAAGTTATACAAAATTGCTTTATATACTTTGTATGGCGTTTGGCCTTACTTCAAGCATCCTTTTTGGCAATACCAATCTATTGAGATGGTTAACAGAGTAACGGGTATCTGATAGTCGCGGAAGTCGATCGCAGTGTTCCTCTTGCTTGTTATGATAACACAAAGGAAATAAACTATAAACGTTTTTCGAAGAAGACCAAATTTTGTAAAATAATTTTAAGTTTTTACATTAACATATATACTGTAATGGAAATGAAATGGTAATCATAAGCTGTTAATCAACGCCATCAGATATTTACGGTGAGTTTTTCAGCATATGGAGTTTATCGGTATATAACACAGCAAGTCCTGCTCGTCTTCTTTGCGCAATTGAACTAACTCCCAAGGGTCAGTTTCCAACTTTATACCTTTCTACTCAATTCACGTGCATCGTTTGCCTTCCCTCAATCGGCAGCAATCTTTTACTATCTTGCCCTGCCATGCTCTAGAGTCTAGAGTCTGAATGGATAGTGCCAGCTTGCTAACTGAAACTTTAGTCCCCAAGATAAAACAAGAAGAAACGCTAAAGTCAAGTGCCGCGACTATTAGATACCCGTTACTGTTTTTTTGCAAAATATTCATTTTGCTAGTGGAAAATCATAAAGCACCACCTATTGTCAGAGAAAGCGTGTTGAGTGACTGACAGTGACGTCACTGCCCATGTGAGGTCTTATAAACTTACATATATTTCTTCATAAATAATGTTCCGATTTGAGAAATCTTTGGTAAATCGATAGATATTGGCAAAAATATATTATACAAGGTCAAACGAAGACATACACTACAATATTATAGACGACAAAGTTTTCCGCGGTTTCTGGGCGTTATAGTAGGGCGTGGCCGGATGAAAACTCGCGTTGATTTGCAGCTGCATCTCTAAAATAGGTATTTTTAGGCATTACTTTCCAACTCTTATAGTTCCCAAGATTTTTACACTTTTGGTTTTCCGGGTTTTGTGGGCGTTAGGGTGGGCGTGGCTAGATGGAAAATAAACAGTTTGCATTTGGGGCATCATAAAAATGCTAAAATGCATGCTTAATCCGAACTTTCTATTACTTATAGTTACCGAGATATCATATTTTCTAAAAAATGGGGAAAGGTCTTTCGAGCTTGGTGGGCGTATTAGTGGGTGTGGCCGGATAATGGTAGAGTCGGAAACGCTTCCTTCTACCTTTTACATACTTTTCAACGAATCTAGTATACCCTTTTACTCTACGGGTAAGGGGTATAAATATCCATATGGACAGGCCATACGGAATGGCTATTATCTTGATTTCCTAATACAATACTAATATATACTAATACTATTAGTATACTTTATAAGGTCGGAAGCTCTTTCTCTAGCTAGTTAGTTTCCCTTCTACCATAGCTAATATTCTGACGCGGTGCCAGACTCAAAATGGGATTCAAATTGATTTCCAGGTTATAAAGTCCGTTCATTGGCAATCACCAAAAGTTAACCCTTGTTTACTTATAAGGCTTTGACGTCCTTGAACTTCTTTTGTTTTAGTCAACTAATTAATGCGATCCGGCCTCGGAACTTATACCTAAAAAGACTCTTAGGGATAGCCATTAATCAGCATTAAGGGGCCAAAATAAAGTGAAGAGCCGATTGCAGTTTGGAGCAATTAAGAACTCTCAAATAATTTCCGGGCATTTAAGCCAAGCAGTGCACTGGTGGCGAAAGGGGGAGGGACGGGATAAGCCCCTCCTAGCCGGCGGTAATCAGGGTGTCATTCTGCTTTGGTGGCTCCTGATGCGGATGCGGAGGCTGATGCAGATGCTGGTGGTGGTGATGGCGAAGGCGATGGCGATGGTGATGGTGATGGCGGTGCTGTTTGCGTCCCGGATTAAGTGCGCAACTAATTGCGTATTGCGGCGATCCACACGCTCAGTGGAGATGTCATGAAAACGATGCAAACTTTTAAACTCTTGCGATTGGCCAAGCATGTAATTTAATTTCGTTCCCACCATTGTTTCAACATTATTGTTAATTTGGCGCTTGCAAAACTCTAAACGGCGGAAAAATTAAGGGAAGGAACGGATGTACAGTGAGGACGGAAAAATATGGCAGCACTCTAACCGATTAGTTTGGGTCAGTGAAAAGGTTTTCACCGCCTTGATTCTCAAGCTAAACTAATATTGTTCTCAGCAAAGAGCCGTCCATATTATACGGTGTTATAGCTGACCTCCCAGTATCCGCATCATATTCTATAGACTAGACCTTTCAGCTTTAGAGGATACAGGACATCAGGGACAGCAGTCAGTAGAACAAACGAACAGCGAATACTATCTTTGCTCCTAGAAGTAAGCTCTCTGATATCCGTAAACATGTTAAAACTCTCTGGTCTCCGCCCTGGAAAATCTTACTAAATGAGGGGGCTTGAATAGGAGAGCCTTTAAGTGCCATTAAAAGCAAGTGGTTCCGTCGGAAAAAAACCCATTAAAAACCAGCATTTTGCTAGAAATATTAATTATCAAATGAGCGAAAATGCCAGAAGCCATTGAGCTTGCTTTTTGAAAATCAATTAATTAATTTGTGCAAATTTTAATTGCTTCTTCCCTGGACACCCAGGACAATTGTGACCTTTGGGCCTGAGAGGGGCAAAGTTGTTTTCGACATGCTACTTTAACGTGAATAATGAAAATTTATGACTTCGGTTTCGGTTTCGACGAATGCCGCCGAATATGGGTAAATCTGCTAAGGGGCGTGTCTCCGGCTATTATCTCCTTTTGCTCTGCTCAACCTGAGCCACTTCCCATCCAGGGGGCAACGATGATGCCATAATTTAAATAAATGAGACACAGCCCAGCCGCACCAAATTCCATTTTTAACTATTTGGTAAGATGAGGATGTGATATTGACACGGCTTATTTGTTCTTATCACATCTGTCTTGGCTAACTTTCCAGCTTTTTTAACCATCTGGATAGTAGCTTTAACTACATAAATTGAACCAGCTGGACATCATTTCATTTTATGAAATAAACTATGTGACCCTTAGCCTCACCTTTAAAAGTTTCCGTATTTTATTCTGTTAAATAGGGTCTAGGATCTGTATGAGTTTATAGGAAAAAAATTGACAGATAAATACATTGAATTTTTATGATTTTCATCACAGTTAATATTCCTTTATTTTTTGGTTTAACGCCTTTTTGGTCATTGGCAACAATTAAATTTTCATCCAACCGCTTTTGATTTATATAAACTTGGATGAAATCTACCTCCCCCAATGAATCCATTTTTAAAGAAATTAATTCGATTCCCTCTGCTTGGATCAATGCATTATTTCTGGTAAATAATGAAAATTCTCTTTAAACGAAAAATATTTCCAGAAACAGGGCCAAATAATACGTAATACAATTTGGGAATAAATTTAATGGTAAGACTTCGAAGTACTCCGGCCTGGTATGCCCTGGAAAGGGGGACCTCGGCTTAACCCCTTCTACTTATTTTCAAACTGAGCCGCATGTGACAAATTAAATTAATAAAATAGAGACTCGGCCGCAAAAATGTTGAGCGGAAGGCGAACATTTTCGCACGCATAGTGGCGAACTGCGTGTATGTGGAGTGTGTGTGGCTGGTGGGACGTTGTGCCAGTTTGTTTGCCAGTGTTTCTGCGATTCAGTTTATTTTAGCGGCGGCCCGACATTCTGCCCAACTTGGCGGCCTCCTGGGTGCCTTTTGTTTGACAGCGTCAAGGCGGAAACGTGTCCACCGGAGGGAGGGGCGGGCTAGAACTGCGCTGTAATTTTATTGTGTGGAAAATATTCCTGCATTTCGCATTCAGGACACTGTGTGAATGTCTCGGGGTTGCGCGACTCACAAAAAACTTGTTGACCTTTATGGCTTTTCCATACAAGACGCTTTTCTCGTATTTTCACGGTTAAAGTCTCTAAATTAAATTTAATTACTAAAAGTGCTGTGGGCTCCCCCTAAGTCCCAGAGACTGACAAGGAGGGTCGGAGCGGCTGGGTGAAGCGCCTTAATAGTCAGCAGCCTCAATCTTAGTCTTAGTTCAGAGACAAAAAAGGAAAAGGGAAACTAACTTCGGCAAGCCAAAATTGTGATAGGCCGTAAGGTACCCAAATATCGTCTTAGTTCAGTTTTTTGGACGAATTGCTCTTATGGCAGCAGAAAGTTTGTTGTTTTTCTTGTTTATAAAAATTCCAATAAAAAGTATAACTTTTAAGAACAATATAAGAATAGAGCATGATTACATTTAAGGAGGTCAATTTAATTTATTTTAATAATTTAATTCATATGATAGCACAGTTAAGGAAAAGTTTGGGGTCCTACGCTTCTTGACAGTATTAAGTAAAAGATGAGAGCAAATTTCCAGTGGTGAAAATGCTTCTTGATTTTCCAATTTCGAAGTCAAACTGTGAAGTTTGCTGTGCTTTGGGACTTCCGGTTTCGGGGAAGCCCCTTCACTCAAGCTTGTGGTCAGTGGCAAAAGTTGCTGAATTCTCATTTATAAGTATCCTGTAGCTTGAACTTTCTCTATGTGCTTTTCGTGGCTAATCTCAAACAAGGTTGTGATGGGCGTCCTCTTTTCTGTGATAAATTAAAAAGGGAAGAGCAGTACACGGTCCGATATCCCTAGTCAACCCTGGGATAACGATTGCGAATTTAAGATTATGGATGCATAATGATATATGAAGGTGACTGTAATTCCCAACTGATTTTCGCTGCGCAGGGGTAACCAACTTTTACCCTCCGTGTTATTCTTATCTTTCTTTTTCTTTTTTAAAGATGTTTTATTTCCTTGATGGATTAACTTTAAAAACTAATTCCCGTGGAAAAGGAGGAAAAGTAAAAGCAAGTAGCTGGCTGCTAGCAAGAAGACTAAGTTACGAATTAATATAGTTAATCGGCAAACTTAAGCTATATGTTAGATTTAATGTATTGGCGAAATAAGAACAAATTGATTGCAAAACGAGCAAAATCAGGCCAAATCAAAAATGACCAAATGTCTTGGTCTTAAAGTATGCACGGTGTACCCAAATTTATTATAAACTAAAAGAACATTGCTAAAGATAGCAAGGGTGTTTAGGGTTTGCCATGCCGGAGTTGACATCAGTTCTTAGGTAATGTGGCTTGCATAATATAATTGTTCCGCACTGAAGTTACCCTGGCGGAGTTCCAACCATATTTGAGCAGTAGTAGTAGTTGGTAGTTCTACCATGAACATCTTCAAGTTAGTGGCCCTCGGCTGCTTGAGCTACTTGGCTGAGGGCTGTAAGACCTTCTGTTCTAGGAACTACCGCCCTGTTTGCGGCTTCGATGGGACCTGTTACACGGAAGCCAGAAATGCCTGCTTTATGAAGAACGTGAACTGCTTAAGAGTTGCCAAGGAGGAGAAAGGTAATTCGTTCACAAGCCACCAGTTCCTCACACATAAATCGAGTCTTTCTCTTCAGTGTTTAAAAATGTCCGCCATGGCATATGCCAACAGACGCTGCCAATATGTAAACTGTTGCCTGATGACGAAAGTAAACCATAAACAGATATTTCATCAAGGGTTCTATGACTATAACCACATTAAGGCGACACTAGCTTACAGATAGTATTAGTTTCTCACTACAGTTGGAACTCAAATTACAAAATAAAATTGGCGTATCGAACCTTTTTTAAGTTGCATTTAGGTTTTCCGGTTGCTTACATATCGTAAGACTTGGGTTGACTTCAACTCCACCGAAACAATGTCTATGTTCGATTGATAGTAGTTTTTTCAAACATGGATTAGATCTTCGGTCCTTGGGATCAATCCCAAGACTGGGACTACTATATTCTTTAGAATCCCTTTTATTTTTCAAGTTTACATTTCTTCAAAGAAGTAGAGAGGTGTGAGTCACCCAAGTATACAAATTTCTTTACCTCGGCAAACTGCCGTTTTTCATGAAACACGAAAAATCAATATGGAATTGAGTTGCTGGCGGGTCTCTAAGACTGATACCCTGTTGATCATTCCAAAGTCTCGCCTAGAAGAAGAAAGGAATGCTTATCGACAAGCCATTGATTCTTACTTGAGCTTGTATATCGATACTGTGGGCTTCAGGGCCCCAGATTGTGCACTGGCCGCGGGTCAGCTGTAAGGGTCATCGGGTCGGGACCTATCTTGACCTGTCCATGGATTTAGTAGCTTTCCTGCCTGTGTAGTCCACAGGCAGGCTGCGCAGTGCAATCATTTTCATGGGCATGTTGAGTCCGCCGGGAATTAAAGCTTTTATGAACCACAAATAAATGCTGACCCCGATTATTTTAAAAATGCAACGATTTGTGGCGGACAGAATGGGCCAAATGATGCACATGAAAAAAGAATTTCAGGAAGCTTTTATTTTATGTCGCTTTGGGCCTTTTTCAGAGTACAATACATACACGCCTCCTCAAATATGTATTCACATTCGCATTGGTATTGGTGTTGGACCTCTACTCTTGGCTGCTTGCAACAGCTCTGTGAAATGTTCATGTTGGTGTGGCGATTTCATTTTATTAATTAATGCTCAACCGTTTTGCTTTTAGAGAAAGTTATGCTGCAGCGATTAAATATTGAATGCCACGCTCGAAGAGATTTTAGCTTTAAATTTTTAAAAGTTAACACCAGAGTAGGGAGCACAGCCACTACTCTTTCCGAAAGGAAATCATTTCTGAGCGAAAGGAAAGGGAGAAAGTTCTAAGGTCGATATCCTTTGAATTCTATCGCTGTCTTTTAGTTCAATGTAACTGATTAATTCCCTAAAGGGTCGAAGAACAAACTTTCCTGCTGAGGAAGTGTTGGAATGTATAGGATGGAAGTACTTTGTCCACCACTGAAAATAACTCTTTTTGAAATATTTTGCTAGTATTTTGTCTAGTATGAACATTATATTAAATAAATAACTGTTGTGAAATGTACTAAATGATAGCTATGGAACACAAAATCAACATAAGACTTGCAAATATCAAAAAGCAAGAAAACACCTCCCAATTTTGTGCTAGTATTCACCACAACCAAGACTAATCCCAAGTGCCAGGCGGTCCAAGAAAGCCAAGAGATCTGACCTGGAGTCGTCTTGAGTCAATAGAGGCCTTGGAAGGGGATTGCAGTCGGTTTACCGCTGGCCTGCATTGGCGGGGCTTATGAGCCATGTGGCCTGTGGCCTGCAGCTTTTTGGGCCACCTCAGTTCCAGCATTGTGGCATTTTGCCGCTTTGCCGTTTTGCTTGACATTTTGCTCACGAAATTCAATAAAGAACTTAAAATTCTCCTGTAACTTTGACACATTTTTTGCAGATTGGTCTGTTTGGCTTTTTGCCTAAAGTTGGTTTCACTTCCCATGACTCAAAATGTTCCCAAAAACTTGTCGTGGCGAAAGTTCTTTCGTTGTCGAAGGAAACGTACGAATTCATCGTGATTGCTCAAAGCCAGCTTTTAAAACTTGAAAACAAAAGCAATTAAAATAATTGCCCCTGACATAGCTTCATACAATGTCTCTTGGAGTTATGAATGCGATCTTAAAGCTGGTTTTTACTATCAAGAACTAAAATTAGAATACAGAATAGAATGAATGGAGCGTGAAAGTGAGACTTGGGGGGGGGGAGCCCCAACCCGGCATTGTGATTCCTTTGTTGTTCGCCAATATTTTGTTTTAGAACGTGTCTAAACTCCTCAATTTCGTAGGGCTCCTTTGGAATTCCATTATTTTCGAAAAGTTCTAGTCAAAAATTCAGGCACGTGCACTGTTTGCACAACGTCAAACAAGAAGTTAAGTAATTAAATAATGCAAGCCCGAATTAGATAACTGTTCCAGAAACCGAAAATAAAGAAATGGAAAGAGAAATGAATTGCCAAAAGCACTGCCACCACAAGGGCGTGGGCCTGTGTTCAAAATTTATGAGCAACAAATGTTGACCCTAAGTTCCACGAAAGGGGCACATTCTGCTGGCGAAATACTTGCGCAAGGGGAAAGAGCTCCTGCCTTAATCAACAAACAAGCGAAATGCGTCGACAAGTTGTGGGAATTTGAAATGGCTGGGGAGGGGCGAAAAACGGCAACGCAAGAACGGAAATGTGACATAAATCTACTTTGCATATGGAGATGAATATGCCCGGCGATTTGAGTTATGTGCCGCGCGTTACGCATACGCCATGTTGCCAGAGAGATTGCTACAAAGTGGGCCAGTGCTTAGCGTCGTGCTGCGGCTCCGTTCGCTCGTCGTCCTTTCTTAAAGTCGTAAACCAAAATGGGCACAGTTCAAGCAAACACTCGTCCAATTTTTTCATGGGACCTATCTTAAAGCCCGGATTGCATCTCACCCACTGCGGTCCACATGGGGAGTGCTGGATTCTGTTGCTGCCGCATGCTTTTTATCATTGGCCCGAGCTCAAACTTCAAAGGCCATGACTGGCAGTGGAATTCCCCTAAAAGTGGCAATAACTGTTCTTTCATCGATTTAACTTAAAGCAGATCCCGTAGGCAGGGCAACCTTGTACACTCGTCTTGTGCATGAACAAAAAGGGTTAAGCTCTATGAAGAGAGGTTAATAAAAACATCTTCAAAGTATCTTTTGCTGTGGCACTTTCCCCAGGGACTTCCCCATGTGGCTCTCTATTCCTGCAGGTGGCGTCAAGGGAAAGTATATGATAATAAAAGGATGTGCAAAACAAATTGTTTTATTCCAGCTGCAGCTTGCCTCACCTACAGTAAATCCTTTTGTGACTTTCAAGCTGTTTTTTAGTTTTATTTCCCGAACTGTTTTTCAATCTATTAAATCAGGCAACCCTGCGTTTTTCGCAGGCAGCTGGAAGTGGATTGCAATGGTTTTAACCTCTTTCGATGGCCAACTCGACATCCACGCTACCTGTCTCGTCAAGTATGCATCGCTAGAGTTTTTCACATCGACATGCCGTGTGGTTCAACACTAGACTGCAAAGTTATAAACACGAACGGATCCACTCCTATGAATTTTCTTTCTTTTCTCTTCTTTTCTGTTCCTCTCGAGTTTCGATACCGCCACACGTAGCCATAATTGCCTGACTTAAAAGACAATCAAAAATAAATAAATTTAGATAAGCCGTAATAAGTATTTTCTTGTTGTAAATAGACCATTTCAATCCATGGATATATCATTAAGAAACTATCTATTTATGTTTCTCACTTGACTTCGCGACCTTGTAGTTTAGTGTTATTAACGCCCGTCGGGCACAACAACATTGGTTTACCAACAGCAGTGAAAACCAACAATGCAGTGTGTTTCCATTTTTCGGGTTAACCGAATTAAAGTTGCCCAGATTGAGCGGAGTTTGGCCGCTAGTTCTCTTTTTAAATTAAGTTGTCAGAGCAGCAATCACCGATTCTCGACAGCGGCAGTGGCGCGGTAATGAAAGCAACTGGCTGGGAATGAAATTATGTGGCAGGAGCACGGAGTGCGCTGGTTGTCGTTCTTGCCACTGACGTGCCTATGTCAGCGCAACTATAATTAAAAAACTTAAGGGATAAGGAGGAGGTCTAACGGAACTCACAGCGAATTCCTAGGTGTTGCCCACCATGTATGCATTTTTAAACCCGTTACTCGTAGAGTAAAGGGGTATACTAGATTCGTTAAAAAGTATGTAAAAGGAAGAAGGATTTATTTCCGACCCTTTAAAGTGTATATATTCTTGATATGGATCAATAGCGAAGTCGAATGAGCCATGTCCGTCTGTCCGTCCGTTCGTCCGTATGAACGGTATGATCTCAGAAACTATAAGAGATACAAAGTTGAGATTAAGCATGAAGATTCTTGAGGTCCCTACGCAGAGCAAGTTTATTTCAGCATCCTGCCACGCCCATCTCAGGAACTATTAGAGCTAGAAAGTTTAAATTTAGTATGTACAATTTTGAGATGCCAGCTATCTGCCACACCCACTCTTACGCCCACCAAGCTCAAAAGACGGTTTTCGTGTTTTGCAGAAAAGCTGATATCTCGGTAACTATAAGTGATAAAAAGTTCGGATTAAACGTGTAGGTTTTTATGATGCCCCCAATGCGAATTGTTTTTTTTCCGATCAAGCCACGCACAAAAAACCCGAAAAACCAAAAATGCGAAAATCTCAGGAACTATAAGAGCTAGAACGTTGTGTTTAAGAATACGTATCTAACAAATGCCACTGCAACTTGCCACGAGTTTTCATTCGGCAACGCCCACTCTAAGGGCCACAAACCGCGGAAAACTGTGGCGTCCATAATATTATGTATGTCTTTGCTTGACCTTGTATAACATATTTTTGTCAATATCTTTCGATTTACCAAATATTTCTCAAATCGGAACATTATTTTGCTATTTATGAGGAAATATAGGTTGAAAGGTCTCACATGGGCAGTGACGTCAGTTACGCAACATGCTTTCTCCGACAACAGGTGTGGGTTTGTGAGTTTCCACTAGCAAAATGAATAATTTAAAATTGTGTGAATCAGTAATGGGTATCTAATAGTCGCGTCACTCGACTACATCGTTTCCTCTTGTTTCATTTATATTCCCGGTTCTGGTTAAATTCAACGAGCACGCCCAGGACTGAAAGAATAAATAATAAAAAGTGTTACCGCTAAAACCAGGGAACGAGGGACCATTCCAGGCTGCCAATTATGGGTAGCACTCTTCTCGGGAAAGCCATCATAAATTCTGAACAACACTTCTAGACTTGGAATTTTAACTTTTCAAAGGATATAAAAGAATATTCTTTTTATGGTGATTTATGGTGATTCTTAACTCAACGTCTTTGTTTGTCTTCCAGACGTCTTCGCATCTGGTTCGGCGCTACTTAAGACTTTCAGTTGTAATAATGAATATTCAAAATGTAACGCTTTTAAGGAATTTTCATTTTGAATATCTTTGTTTTTTATGGATTCTCGATGAACTCAGATATAGGTTACTTCCAACATTTATATACAAATACGGAATGTCATAGGTTATCAAATATGGTAAGGAACATTTCAAGGGACTTTTTCAACTGCATCGCATTGTGCCTTCTTAACTAGCTTAATCCCAAACTTATTTAACACGTACCCCTTGCTCCTTCGATGCCAAATCGACCCCAGAACTCCAGGACTCAATCAAAAAGTTCAATTGTTCGAAATGGGTTTTCACTCATTGGCATTTTGCGTGTTCCTTCGGGAGGGGGAGAGCTGCCCAGAAATTTGCCCTAATAAAGGGACATTCTGCAGCTGGCCCCATAAATATGAGGAATAATGCAAAACGTTGTCTGCTTTTTGGCGCTCGGTCTGGCTTTCGTGACGTGTAAGCGGATTGCCAAACCTCCGAGCCGAGCTGCCAAACTGCAATTTTCCAGGCGAGCAGGCCAGTCCCACTCCCAGTCGGCCTTCCATCACAGGGCCAATTGCAAGCCTTCGTGACGCAAACCGCCCATTAAATGCATATCAAGTCAAAGTCAGGGCGGAAATCCTTCTTGCCAGTTTGATTTATCGAAGCCTGCTGCCAGGCATTCAGTCTTACGAGGCGCTCAATTGGGCCATCATGTCGCTGCTCCTTTACAATTTGTCCAACTTTGCAGCCCTGCCACAACAAGGGGTTAATGAGCCGTGCAAATCAAAGGATTGCTAAGTCCCGATTCTGCACATACTCAGACCTCTCAATATTAAACACGTTAAATGTTTGTTCACTAAATAACTATTTCAAGGCCTGGGACCTCTTGCTCGACTAGGCGCTTTAGAATAAACACATAAATGCGTTTACGAGCTTAGGATTTTGTATGGTTTTTAAATGCTATCGATAAGGCAGAAACAAACCAAAAGTAACTAACAACTCCCCACCTAGAGACTTGTAAAGTGAAATACATATCAAAAAGGAGGAAAGCGATTCAAAGAGCTCTTAACTGCCGGTCTTTCTATGACCCGAAACCTATAAAAATGTTACCTTGCCTTGGAAAAATCCCGGAAAGGAAGACGTGCCTAAAAACATTTCTGTTTATGTGGGCAGGTGGCGGCAACATGCAAAACAGCCACTTTCACAACGGCAGCCCAGACAAATTTTGTTAAGTACTCAACTTGTTATTACTCTACAGGGCTAAGGGTATACCAACTATCCTCCAGCAGAGGGAAGGAAACCAAGAAAAGGTTAATATATTTTACAAATTTCGGAGAAACTAAATAAGATCAACCCATTCTAGTTTTTTCGAGGGATTATAGGAAAGAGCATTTCACCAGAGACTACACGGAGGCAATACCTTCAGAGTAATCTCCATTGTCTCCTCCGTTTAGATGCAACCGTTTGCGGTATTTGCGGTTTACTGTCCGAGGTCTTCTTCGCGTTGTGCACGTCCATGCCCCTTTGAGGAGCCGGGGAAGCGAGCATGTTGTTTGAAGAGTTGGAGCAGGGACTCTTGTCCAGGTCGGAAGAGCAGGAGCAGCCAGCAGCGAGGAGCCAGTGTTGCATTTTAAGCATGGGTGGTGTTTGCTTAAATATTGCCCGGGAAACGACTAAGAGGCTTAGCTTCAAATGCCAAAAGTTCACTATTTTCTTAGACAAGTTGGATGATGAGCGTTTCGGTCTTGAGTTTTGAAGACGATAATTAGGGACATGCTTCCCTCGCCGAGGTCGCGTTTCGGTGTCCAAATGGCCCTTAGCCCCGTACTCCAGCTCCGTGATGAGCACCCATGAGTGCACTTGGAGAAACCCGTACCCCTTCCCATTCCAATACCCATTCCCATTCCTGCGATTCAGCTCCGAGGCTCAACCAGAGAGCGTGACAATGCCGGAGGAGATGTCAACGCGGCCTGCAATAAAGTTCTCCATTTTACTGACGCTGCACATTTACCATAAGAAGGCTGTTCGCCTCCCAGCCATATGGGCAAATGCAACCGCGAAGCTCTTTTTCTTAGCATGCAGGCAGGAAGTTTATTGAAATTTTATGCATTTCCTGCATTATATGAGGCCGCCTTTGCTGTTCTGAGGCCACCGAAAAGTTTCATTTTCGATACTGTCTGCGAGTTTGTCGCTCGACAGCTGCCTTGGGTTCGCCTTTCATCTCGCATGGTTTCACATCCTTTATTCAGCATGTTGAAACACATTTCAGAGTGTTTCCGCCAGCCGCACCCACATACTCTCCACTAACCGCTGGTTAGCTTCGGATAAATGTGGCTTAACCGCTTCAGAGCTCAAGTATTCGCTTCTAACCGAGTTGCAAATGATTAATCTGGGCTTGTTGTTGTGCCATTGTTTAGGCCATTTCCCACTCTTATTTAAAACATGCTTCCGTTTTTTAGCTGTTCTTCAATCGAAAGAAGAGCCCCTAAAATGGTTGAAAGTAGAAGAACTCAAAATATTGATATACTTAAAAGAATAATATTCAGACAGGTAGTTTGCAATGCTCCAATTTATCAATGTTGTCAATATAACACGCGAAAAAACATGTGATGGGCGAAGATGTTTCTTTGAAATTTCGAATTTGAATTGAGTGTCTCGCCAAGAAGCAAGCTGGCTAATTTGATACACTTTGCTATCATATCTTTTCTCGAGTTCGATTAGGTTGCTTCAGACTCAGAGCTTCTTATTTTGAAAATTGGTTGATCAATGTGTAATTTCTTAGAATTCATATCTGTGTCCGACTTCCTTTCTGGTGTAGGGCTGTTTCTAGAGTCAAGTAGTTGGAAGGAGTGCTCCAGGGGCTGTCATCTATTTCTTCTTTTTGTCCTTCTTGTCGTCCTTTTTGGGACCACTTCCAGGAGGACAGGACGACAGGTAGCCCTCACTCATCATGCGGTCGAATGCGTCCATCGGGTCGTAGTTGGAGTAGAAGTTCTTGTACTTCCTTTTGCGGGGAACGTTGTGCAAGGTGTAAAGGAGCAGGGGAGCTATCAGGGCCAGAGTGCAAGCCACTTTTATGTTCCCCAGGGTCTGCTTGAAGTGTACGTTGTGCATGGGAAACTTGAATTCCGGGGGCTATACTAGTTGGGAAGGGATTACGACTTATTGTTCTGATGATCTTTCACCTTTCTCCTACCTTTTGTTCCGGCATTTTCGGTATTCTCTGCTTGAGACTCGAAGAGAAATGAAAACAAAACAAACTTCCTTCGATTCGTTCTAGACGACGAATGATAGGCCTTCTATTTGTATTAACAGAAAGCTGCGGATAGCTTTCTTTTTAAAAGAAACTAAAGATTTAAATAACAATTTGAAAATAAAATAAAACATAATAATAAGATTTAGCGGGCATTAGCCGGGTGCATAGTTTTATACATTTTTAACGTTAAGCGTGCAAATTGACTTACTTTCGTTCTAAAACGAAAGAGCCAAGTCCATGTCCAACATTCCTCTTATTTGGATGCTGCTGGCGGTTTACTACTGGAGTAATAGGGTATGTTGTAGTCTAATATTTGTCTAACTTTTCTTATTCTTCCATGAGACTTTGTTCTAAAATGTATAAGAGGTTGATTATGATTTTTTATTATAATTATTATTTTTATTATAATAATATTGTTATACCATTTTACAAAAATTTAACATTATTTGTAAAACCTTGCCATATTTTTCGATAAACTAAACTTTATTTTTAACCATTTTATAAAATATTAAGGAAGCTTTATAAAAATCCTCTTTAACTTTCTGAGAGTTGGACAAATTTATACCTTTATAACACATTTTGATCAAATAAATGACAACCATTGCACGTTTTTAGGGTCATAGGGCGCCTTGAGCGCAGCCTTGCAGACGTTTCCTGAGTACCAACTTTGCAATCTGTTTTTAATAAGTATTTGTCTGCGAGCGGTGATTTATTGCAAGTGCAGACAGACACTTCGCTGTTTGCAGCCCTCAACTGAAGGAAAGGCTTTTTCTCTCCTTTATAGCTTCTTTAAATTCGACCACTTGAAACTCCCGTTGAACATGTTCTTTTGAATATACAAACATTTATTTTATTTCAGTCCATTTATGTGCCAATTCTCCTTCAACACATTTTTGTCCTTCTCTACTTCTTGCATGAAGAGCAGCCAAGTGCAAAAACTAAAAACCCCAACTGGCTGCCAGGGCCAATCAGGGTTGGGTGCTGCCCACACAGAGTTTGAGATTGTGGTTATTTATTTCCTTTCGTGTGGCCTGGGCAGTGAGGACAGCCGCCCGCTCTCAGGGGGATTTCTGTTCCAGCTTGGATGATCATCAAATCAAGGCGGATAATCAAGTACAAGGTCGGTCGCAAACGTGTCCGGTCGTTCTAACAATAGCTGTTTATGGTGGCGTTGAAGCGTTACCTTGTTATTGCTTACTATTATCTTTAGTATTATTTTCATTATTATTTAACTATTAAGCTATTACTAGCTATAGAGAAACACTCATTGATTCGCTTCTACCATCCTGTCGGAATCATCATCATTTCATCAGGTTGATTTGCCAAGCCAGGAGTATAATCTTGCTTGACTGCAAGGGAAACTAAAATCTTAACGGCTATTCGTATTATGAAAAAGATAATTTAAATAAGCAGCTTGATAAAAGCTGAAAAATGTTCAGCACCTGAGGATAGCAGGAGTTTTCTGCTCGGTACTTAATGTCGGGGAACATCTGCACAGGGGACTTGAATTTGCATTTGGCAATTAGATTTCTAGCAAACCGCTTGGAAAAACACACCCCGAGAGTTCACTTATTTCTGACAATGACCATTCAACTTTGACCAGACGGACTTTAAAGTCGTTTTGCACGGGCGATGGCGATGCGGTGCGTTGAACCGACTTCCAAGGAGACAATTTCGATATGTTAAGCGCCGAAGGCGTTGCCGGCGATTATAAATGTAAGCCGTGGCCATATCCTTTCCCGATGTAGTGGCTGGAGGCTTAATCGAAGGCGTCTTCGATCTGTCGGGTGTCGGGTGTCCATATATCTCTTGGCATGCTGACTTGGCAGTCCCATTTCGAGAAACTTTCAAATGCTAAGTAGGTATAATCAAATTTGAGTACATTTTTGAACTTGAAATGGCTTTCAGGCAGTACACTGGCAGCCACCGCCTGTCCAACCGCTTTAAACTTTTCGGCTCACTTCAATTTATTTGCAACGCAGAAGAAGATCCTAAATGACAGCCAAACATGGTAAATTTCGTTGATTTTGATTATATTTGTTCAACTGTTCTGGTCAGAAATCTAAAGTTGCTCTTTGTTCTTAATACGTACTCCTAAAAATTCTACAAAATAGTCTCATTTTTATCACGTCTAAGTCAATTTACGAGGGTGTCTAACAGCCAGTCTAAGGATAGTTAGGTGCTGTTAATGCTGAAAAAGCTGCCCAATATTGCAGGCACAAATCTAAGATGGTCAGGTAGATAAGTCAGAATAGTTAGGGCTAGTGGGAAGGGTTGGGATATGCCACACTAAAGCTATGAACTTTCAAAAATTATAATTAATCAAAGTTTATTGCATATGTTTAGCTCAGATCTTGTGCCCTTTCCAGGTCGCACTTCTGTCCAAAAATAAAATTTGCCTTCGCGTGCAAAAGTAAGATATTCTTGGCCCTAATTTAGTAAGTGTTCCCAACAGAACTCCAAGGCCCCTTGATTAATATATATAAGAGAATTGCATGCTCCGAGCAACCTCTAGCTCAGTGAACTTTGCCATCCCTCCCGCCATCCAGGATAGGGGCCGATGAACCGCAATACCATCGGCTTTTGACTTGGTCATGTCATTATTATCTATTAGTTATGGCCCAAGTGGATGAAAGGCCACGCCCCTGCCCTTTGCCCAAAACGACCGGTTCGCTGCTTCTGCTAGCTAATTGTAAGTTATTGCCACCAAACGTGCCCTGGGCCACTGCCAATAAGGCTGACGAAAGGGGTTTCCCCATAGCCCACCTGTAACCGTCCGCCGTAATTACAACTTCCGCCGGCTATTGACAACGGACCCGCCTCCTTCGTACTGTTGAGTCAACAGCAAACTAATTGAATTATAAATGGTGTGCTAAAGGTAAATATTGGGCGCCATTTAAAATACTTCTCGGAAAATATCACCAGTTAGCAGCCGTACAAGAATGCTGAGTTCGACCCCTGTTCGTTTTCACATTGCAGTGTTTTCCCTTAAAAACCCGAACTTGTCATTTTCAGTAGTTCGACGTCTGTTTTAAGTAAGGCTAGTTTTCTGGCAGTAAAAGTACCAGGTAGAAGGCAGCGTGCTCGACCATGTGCCGAGTCGATTCAGACATGCCCGATTTGAGTAAGACTAAGCATTCGTATCTTAGAAATGCCAGCGCAGTATGTGACTATACTATCGAGTATCACTTTAACGAGTTAATCGTTTGCCCCTTCTGCCACTGGAACAGTGTGGCCCTAAGCCCCAATAACATAAGAAGATTGAACTTATGTTTCGATCTGAGAGATTGTTGACTTTTAAAGTCGAAACAGACTTTTAACGTTAATATCTGTTGTTACAACGAATACAATATACCCCTTTAGCTTCTGGTAGCCTTTATCCTCTTCACCGTAAACATTCTGTCGGGGCCGACACGAAACGTTCCGTGAAAAATAATTAACTCCGCGCCTGTCTATCTCTGATATCATAAATGCCGGCATTGGAGTTCCAGTCTGTAGGGGGAACAAGTTTAATTGCTGCAGTTCATGAAAATTGCCAATCCGTGTCCAACCAATGTCCCAACAGCCGCAGCTGAATTTTCATTTTCCATGCAGCAACCTGGCTCAAACTCTGCCTGAGTTGATGAAAACTTCCGAGCATCTAAGTATTTATCGGGGAACCAATAGTTTCAACTTCCCAATTAACTTTCTATGTCGCGGCCTATTCTGATACCGACTGACACGGAGGTACAGTTTCCTTTCAGTTCCCGACCAGGCAATAGTTTCGGTTTCCCAGTTCCCAAGGTTCCTTTTGTCCATTCCTGCCTTCATAGGAAACCTTGAATATTGCTAAAATAAAAAATATGTTGTACTTTATTACGCGGTTATACACATTTAATAAGTCCAATGACCAATTTTAAACCCGGATGGCTTTTCAATTGCTCTTTTTTAACCGTGTTCTCCTTATTTCGATGACAATTCTTCATGTATTAAAGTGATTTGTCGGATATAGCTGATTAAGCTCTAGAAAATGTAAGAACCCAGACTCATAGGCGGGATTCATCCTCCTAGTTGTGTTCTTACCATATCCAAAGTCTGAAAGAGCTGCAATATTTACTTACAATCCAGTGTATATTGCTTTATATTAATAATAGCTTCAAAGTTTTGTTTTTCTGCCCGTTACTCGTAGAGTAAAAGGGTAAAGTAGATTCGTTGAAAAGTATGTAACAGATAGAAGGAAGCGTTTCCGACCCTATAAAGTATATGTATTCTTGATCAGGATCAATAGCGAAGTGGATTGAGTCATGTCCGTCTGGCCGTCCGTCTGGCTGTCCGTCTGGCCGTCCGTCTGGCCATCCGTCTGTCCGTCCATCCGTCCGTCCGTATAAACGGTATGATCTCAGGAACTATAAGAGATACAGAGTTGAGATTAAGCATGAAGATTCTTGAGGTTCCTACACAGCGCAAGTTTATTTCAGCATCCTGACAAGGAAAACTAAAATAGCTGGGGTCTCAGGAACTATTAGACCTAGAAAGTTAAAACTAAGTATGTATAATCTTGAAATGCCAGCGCATCTTATGGTGGAACCACACCGGCCACACCCACTCTTACTCCCACCTAGCTCGAAAAGCGGTTTTCGAACTTTGTAGCAAATCTGATATCTCGCTTCCTATAAGTGATAGAGATTTCGGATTAAGCATGTAGCTTTTTAAGATGCCCCAATTGCGAATTTGTTTTTTTAACCCGAAAACCCAAAAATGCAAAAATCTCGGGAACTCTCACATGGGCAGTGACGTCACCATCAGTTAGTAAACGTGCTTTTTCTGACAATAGGTGGTGCTTTATGATTTTCCACCAGCAAAATGAATATGTTAAAATTGTGTAAAACAGTAAGAGGTATCTTTTAGGAGCGGCACTCGATCATAGCGTTAAAGTTAAGTTTAAACATAGTAAGAACTGGCGATTAATAAAATTTTTTATTTAATCACAAACATTCCTATTAATGTTGAACTATTTGAGTTACCGAATTGAAATTTGATTTCGACGACGAAATAACTAATTTAAGCAGAGTAATCTGCAGTCCGTACATTTCAGTAATGGGACAAATCCTTTAAAGAGCATCACAGCCCAATGCACTCGGAACATATCAATAAGATATCTATCAAGATCCTGGCATTCAAGAGATTCAAGCTTAAAAAGGTATATCAGTCGACTCAGAGGACCCGCCCAGACCCAGCGTTCTAATTATTTTCGAGGGCGGCCCACGACAGCCAGATTCCGATGCGAAAATATCTTGTGTGCGACCTTGGACAAAGGAACTATAAAATCCGAGTGTGGCCCGCCCACCCCTCAGCACATCAGTGAGCTCGTGTTATCTATCTCAATGGGGATGTGTTCGCCGAGGCTTTATGGGCCTGGCCGGCATGGCCGTTCGCCAAAGGGTTCATTAGTCTTTCCAGCTAGAACATCAAAGCCAATGAACGTATAAAATGCAGGGAAGGTGGGCGCCAAGGCGGAATGGAAACAGCAACTGCAGCCGGGCAAAAATGGCGCCAGAGCAAACAGCACATGCCAAACAAAAGCCAAGGAACCAGGGCAGGACGAAGCCAACGTGACACACGACATTGGAACAAATTGCGTTGGCAGTATGCAAAGCAATGGGGTGGGGTGGGTCAATGGTCAATGGGCAATGGTCAGCATCCTTCCACCCGGTGGACCTGCTGCCCTGGCGGAAACTTTGGCGACCAGGCCTGAAAAAACTCCAACTTGAAGGGAAACTGGCACCAAATCGATCGTGTAATTGCCGATGCCTGTGGATATTTGGGTTTCCCCCGACCACCCAGCCTCGCGTTCCTCCTTCAAGGCCATGTTTGATTTGCTCACGCACGCCACGAGTAAAGTGATGTCCGACTCTCTGGCCCTCTTTCCACCCAAGTCGCTCTGGGCTGTCATTATTCATTAGAAGACGCGCCTGAGTGGGTGCTGAAACATTGCCCACCTTGCCAAGTTCTGATTCGAGAATTTTAGTTTTAATTAGTGTCCCAGATGGTGAGCAGCCGCCTGACTTGTGTTAACAACTTCTTGATCATTTAATTTATTAATTTAATCGCAGTCAGCGAATCCTCCTAATGGAGGATTCCCCTTCATACTGTGTAGTTCTTTAATCGATACGATTTTCTTCTTTATCAATAAAAGAAGGATCAAGTTAAACTTCACCAAATAAGTCGGTGAGATAAATATGTCGAAGAGCAAAACATACTCTGGCCACGTCTTCAACTTGTTTTTTTTCAGGTTGGGTAGGCAAAGGCTAAATGCCAAAACCAATTTTCCTGATTAACGTGCAACTTGCTATATATCTCGTTCATTGCAGAGGGTGTTAAGAATTTTGACTGACAATTACAGAGCAGTAAAAAAATATTTCATATCTTTTGCAATATTGTGAATAGCCGTGCAAAATTTCCCAATAGTTTTCTTTGTTTAAAGAGGTGATAAGTTTAAAGTTGCGTTATCTATATAATCGCAGACTATCTTTACAGCCAATGCTTGATGTTTAGCCGCAGATTTTCACATCTGCTGTAATCTTTCGCTCTTGGATGTGATTTGTGAAGGCAATTGGCTTGGGAGAAAAGCACTCAAAATTCAAAGATTCCTAACTTTTCTGAAATCATTGTACTTGTTAAACTGCTTTACTCATTCGCACGTATATTAAGCTAGAATAAACTTCAAGTATTTATTAATATGAATCGTGCAAACGCTTTAAATAATTATCAGTACATCAGTGGGTGAAAGTTTTTTCGATGCCAGTTAGATTGCAAAATTAATTGCCTTTGATGAGCTGCTGTTAGATCTGCCGGCCCTCTCCAGCGGACTTGGCCAACCAACCACATCTACGAATTATGCGAGTTTGCCGACTGCTGAGGCAAAATCAATTAATTTCAATGGAATTGTGACTGGGTTTGAGGGGAGTGCTTGTGGACTCTTCCCTGGGTTGGAGACAATCGATTAAAATTGCTATTCCATACGTCATGCTGCGACTGAAATTAAATTTGCATTCAAAGTCGTTGGCAACTTTTAATCTCTCCTGGCCCACTCCACTCTGAGCGATAACTTGGCAGCCCTAAGCTCAATGTACACATACTTAATTTATTTGCGAAAAGCTTGCTGGCCACAATTGAATGGCTTCGCATTCCAAGTGCCACCGCTCCCATGTGCTGCCTTCGACTTATGACTACTTTTCCACTTGAACTTGGTGAGGGTTTCGGTTTGCCCATGAAGGAAATGCAAAGATGGTTAGAGAACCTGCTGAAAAATCGACTTGCATTTGAACTTTTGTGTCTCTTTGTGAGCGTGCAAATCCTTCCTTATCTTCTGGTAAGTCCTGCGGCTTCCCTTGGGGAACCCAAAATTTAAGTAGTGGCACCCCGCAGCTATGCATTTCGAAACCAACTTGACCCCGTGCTAGATCATATTGCTTATACTTGGCTTCGCTGTCTTACTATTATTGTCCCAGAAAAGGCAGTAAATTGCGAGGTATCAAAAGCCTGCGAGCAATGCTTAAGCTGTTCAAGTCGCTGGCAGAAAGCGACTGACATCGCTGGGAATTCGCAGCCAGATACGTCTCTGTCGATTGATTTTTGAAAAACCTTAATGCAATGCTTTTGGAACAGGCAGGCGCCACTCCCACTCGCTGAGGCAGCACACACGTTGCAAGTTTTCCCGCGTCGTTAAGTTGTTGTAGTCCTGGTGAACAGGCACTTGCAAGCTGCTTTTCCCCAGCATCCGAAAGAAAATACGCACAAAAATGGAAATCATACTATTCTAATAACTAGTAAAATATACATCAGCAAAGCCAGCATAAACAGTGTTTAATTTTAGTAAGTATACCCCAGGATTCTGCTTCATATGTTCTGCATACTTTTAGGCAGCTGGTATAAATGATTTTTGTGATCTTTATTTATTTAAGGTTGTCATTTACTTACAGAGTTACGCTAGGTTAAGATATTTATTGATTGCTTGCTGCATTTTTACTTTCAGTAAATTCAAAAATTAAAAGGTTGATTTAAGAAAGAGTCAAAAAATTTGCCAATCCTCTCCAAACACATGTTAAAACATGTAAAAGCCGCAGCGTAGGATCGAGCACTTCGCTTCCGGAACTTTCATTGTGATGCCGGCCACTTCCGCTTCAATGAAGTTTGATATTATGCCCCGATTATAGTTCACCTAAAGAGCAAATTGATTTACATACCTCTATATGCCTCTTTAAATTAGTGATACCAAATGCCGCGGGGTGTTTCAAAAGTTTGGCGTGTCAGCATGGAAGGAGTCAGGACCGGCTTGAGTTCCTGAAGGCGTGTTTGATCCCAAACTGATCTTAGGGTAATCCACAGCCAAATCATCCAGAATCCATCTTACGGGTAATCCCATACTAGCTGGCCGAAATATTCCCCGTTTACGAGCGACAGTTAAAAATAATATTGCCCCGTTAGTGTATGGGAAAACCTGCGAATAAAAATTGCAAAGAGTGCCGCGGTGATTGGCGTAACTTTTGAATCTTTTCAATTAATAATTATTACAAGCTAAAGTTTGTCATCAGCCTATGGTAGCGCACTCATTCCTTTTTTGAGTATCTTTAATTAAGGATCTTCAGTCACTGACATTGGGTTCTGCATCGACTTTTCAGTGGAACCACATGGCGTTTGAATAAATTAGATTACTAATGGATGTAGTTCCGACTATCCGCTGCCTGATGTTCGAATTTATAATTAGTTGCCCCCTTTTTTTTGCCCACTCTAGCAAAACTTCACAGCAACTGCAGTCGCGGCTGAAAATCAAATGAAATCGGAAACCTGCAATCTGGGAAAATACGGTCATCCGAATCCAGGGCGCCTGCGCGGAGAGAGCAGACGCCGAAGCCAGGCCAAAAACAGCCGGCAAAACGCGCGCCAATGTGGGAACAACAGGAAAACTGCACTAACAACCACAACGGCCCGACTTTGCCAGTAGTTCAAGTTCAATGCAACAACAACATCCCAGCCCGCTGCACGTGACGCAAGTGTGGCAACAAAGAGCGCTAACAGGACTGTTAACTTGCCAGAAGGCGCTGTCACTGCCACTGCCGCTGCCTTTCCGACTGCTGGCCCGCTGCTATTCTGGGACACGAACGAGCCGTCAGAATGTCGCGGCATCTCAAACGAATCGGACGCGAAGTCCATACATCGAAGAATACTCCACGGACCCGGAGCTCCGAGTGGTTTTCGGATGGTATACCGCTCGCTTTCGTTCTGAATTATCGGAACAGCCGCACGCGATTGTTCGAATGTTCGGGTTCGACGGAACGTGATTTCTGAAATATTTATCATACCGTGGAAGTGGAAGTTCATAAATTCTAGAAAACTGCTTCGGGATTTCAATTGTCTTGATTTTTCGGGAAATTAACTAGTTATTTATTTTTGCTGACTTCGCTTTGATCTTACTAACGAAAGTGAAGGAATCGCGTATCAAGTGCTCAATATTGCTATTAAAACATTGCACACTTTGCTGTGCGATTTGTGATTTGCAATTTAAATTAAATGGAGTCAAGTAATTAATTATAGCCAAGTTAATAACTCAACTCATCTTAAAGTTGTGAACACCACAATAATTTATAAAAACCCCTTCATGTGCGTAAGAAGCAAAGTCTGGATTATTCAAAACTCAGATCTAAAGATTTTAAATGTTTGTTCTGTACGATTATGAAATCTGGACAAAAACGAAATCGGATTAGGAATGTTGTCGAACAGATTGCTCCCACAGAGACAAAATAACAAAATAATGCTTTGCCCTAAATATTGTCTTTGAACGACCAGAAATATTAATATATTTATTCAATAATATAACTAATATAGGCTAGGCAGCCCAGCTTAAATTCGATTGAACTCAAAAACCCTAAAGCTGAAACAGCTTTTGGTTAAACGCATATTTTCACGGTCGAATTATTACATGGCAAACGGGAAGCTTTTCGGCTGTCAGAATATTATATTGAAAGTGTTTGTTATATTTTTAGAAGTGAACAAAATCCGTCGAGCTAATCGGAGATCCAGAATAATTATAAGCACTAAGCACTGTGAAAACGAAGGTCATTTTGCAACAAGCTGGATTGGCAATAGGACCGGCGCAATGCTAAATTAACGAAGCATCAAGAGCAGAAACTATATTTAAAACGCCCGAAGTGTTTTCTTCCCTCAACGCAATTAAGCGGAAAAGCGGAATATGTGAATAATATTGATATAAAGTGCCACTATAGAGACTGCAGAGTTCAGTTAGGCCGAGCCTGGTATTGTGCTTTTTCAAATTATGCGAAAAACTTGCTTGCTAAGGGACATTTTTCAAGTGGCAAATAGCACGGATTAACCAGAAGTCGGCACGGAAAAGGAGGACAGCACTTTCCATTTTTACTGCAGGTAAATTTTGGGCAAAAGAAATTAATTTAATCTTTGCACTTCCCGAAACCCAATTCTGTGGAAGATTCTCAGGTAATCATCATAAGCTCAACTATCCGCGTGTGGGAGACCAAAGCGGTTTCCTTTTAGATCCTGAGGGGAACCAATAAAACGCTGGCAGCTCGTCGCAGGTGTGTCCTAGTCCATTTGGTTCGGATTGCGACTTTGTTTTTGGTTTATTTGTGATTCTGATTTGCGTGCGCGTGTCTCGATTAACAAATGGCAGCTTCGTATTTGCTCACAAGCTGCCGTCAGATAGACAGCGGTTCATTAAGGTACCTTTTGAAAAATGTGTTGACACGTGCTTTGTGAATTTGTGTACATGTGACCTGCCTCCGGATCCGCCTCACATCCGATGATTGAGCATTACGCATTTTCCTGGACAGAGCTACACTTCAAGAAAGTGGGCTGTCATCTTGAACTCTTTAAATAAAATCGAATGCTTAAGGACCGACCGTCCGAATTTAATGCTTTTCCCTGTTGTAGTTGCAAAATCGAAAGAAAAACTGCTATCACGATTAGGAAAATGTGTCTGTCTTTGAACTTAAAAAGCTTAACTATCTTAGCAGCCAAATATTGCATCGAAGTTTACAAATTACGATTGTCGCGACAGCTGTCATTTCTCAAGCTCACACAGGCACACACTCCGCTCTTTGTTTAAGGGCCATGATAAGGTATTATTTGCTTTTTGGTGCTTAACTAGAATCGAAACCAGGGCAGAACACATTCCGTTTCCTGCTACACATTCGAGTCCTGGCTTTGCCTGTCAATGACTCGACGCCGGCTTCTAACAGATTAAACGTCATCATCTGATTTAGACATCATCGAAATCGCCTACGACCACCCCAAACGGCAAAAACCAAATGAAGCGCAAATGACAAACATTGTCAACTCGACTGTGAAGGTGTGAGATGGCTCTGCGGGTCCTGTCTGTCGCACTTTCTGCTGCGGACAGGCTCTCGGAATGCCTATAGCAGCTCAAAATTAATTCGGGCTGGGCGGTCCTCGTAGGGTCATCATGCCATTCACTGCAAGTTTTGATTTGTCTCTGCAAAGTGCTTACTATTTTCCATATTTTCTTTGGTTGCATTCCTCGATATGTTATTTTGGACTTTTTAGTTTGTTGTTGAACTGAAAAAAGTTACTATAACGCTGCTCAGAATCTTACTAGATTCAGGCCAGTTCGTAAGGCTATTTCTAATAAAAAACCACAAAGCATAAGGAATGTGACGTTTTTTGTAGCGCTGCTTACATTTGAGTACATGAACATCCTTTTACGTGTATTGGTGGTGAAACCCTTAAGTTGCATGATGGATTCACCCCTTTCTGGCGAGGAAAGCGTTCTTATTTGTAGCATATTTTGGGGCACTTGTGGTGAAATATGAAAAACCACAAACAAATGTTTGTGTTTGGTTACATTGCAGGCGCCGTTTCTTACTTTAGTCGTAAAAAAACTTGTGGGAACTTGGCTCACACATCAGATATCAGATGCTACCAGAATTTCCTCTCCCTCAGTTCGATTTGCTCTTCACGGAATAAACCGCAACGCGGCTTTCCAAAAGTCCCAACAGAGCTAGAACATGGCTTCCAAACTTAAAGAATTACATGCATTATTTACGGTTTAAGGGCCTTCCATTCATCATATCTCCTGGTCTGGGGTCAATTGCTCCTTGCTCTGCCCTGTTTACATAATGACCCAAATAAACATGTTTGTTGTTTCTGAGCTCCGCCTTTTGCCCAGCGCATATTAATGGGCGATTTGCCTGAGGGCCAATGATATATGGGCCTTCTTGAGGAGCTTGTGCAAGGAGCCGTTCATATGTACCCGCTGAAAAGTGGGACCCCGCCATGCCCTGTCCTTCACAGCCGTCAAGCTCAGATGAGAGCTATTAAAATTGGAGCCACACTATTATTATTTTTATTGCGTCGGTGGAATTATCTCCGTGTTCTTTGTAAGGATTCTAGCTACTCACAACTTGGCACATCAACTTTCTCTTCCAAACCTTCTCATTAAACCCAAAGTAAAGGCCGTTGCCATTTTGCACCATTTTTACTGTTTTAATACGCAAATTCATGATTATATTAGGAATAGGGAAGTTTGTATAATACAAGTCCAATGGTCATGATAAACGAAATTGCAATTTTACAAGGTATTTGTAATCCGCTCGATTTGGGCCTACCGACTGAGTAGATTGACTGAGCGTTGAATCAATTCAATCCGAGTCATATCAATAAAAAACGATATGCTGTAAAAAAGATGGAAAACGTAAAACTTTTATGTGTGAAATAAATGAGGAACATCGATTGACGTTGCTTTCAAGTTGAGTCTCCACATATGAAAATTTGAGACCAAAAACATCTGAGAAGTGGTTTTGAAATTAGCGGGAATCGATGAAACTTCCCATATATCTTATAAAGTTCATCAAATAGGGCATGTTGCACGATATCAAATGGCCCCTTGAAAAAGAAGTGACTGCTCTTTTAACCTTTAGAACTATCTAACTGACCAACACCGCGGATACCTGTAACTCATTATCGATTGCTGAATAACAAGTGAGGAACGTAGTGGAACAATTTTAGTTATTTTTACTCTCTCTATTATTTACTGTTTAAAATGAGAATTCCTGTCCTAGCTTAGGCTTAGTAAGCTCAATACTCTGCAGACTTCGAAGAACGAAAAAGTTGCAACCAATTTGGTCTCCTCCGGCCAAGTTTGCCAAGGCAATAATGGGTACTTGGTGGTCGGGACACTAGACATGGCGGCTCGTCAAGTTCAATTTATTATTTACACAACAATCAGCAGGAATCGGCGTCAGCTCTGAGCCAGGGTCAAGACTTGATTCGGAGTGACCTTCGTAGAAAATAAGCAATTGGTGACACTCCGTGAGGGGTCTGGACTTCCACTTCCTCTTCCACACAGCCAGGAGACACCATCCACGTGGCCCTCCCCAAAGCGGCGGTTGATGGCAACGTCACGCAATCCTGTGGCTTCCACGATGTAATTTGCGCAATGCATTCATTAAGCATTTTGCTCCTTCTTGACTTTTGCGCAATTTTAAACTCATTTGCATGGAAAGCTGACTCCTGCCCTGCTGCCGGGGATAATTAGGTTCTCAACTCGTAATGCAGCCAGTCGGCGGCGAATTTTGTTTTGTTCATACGGCCAGCACAAATTTATGCTAACGAACTGAAACAACAGCCGAGCGACGGAACCGCAATCTCATTTGGGAAGGAAAAAACACGACTCCGGCACAAATAGCTTTGGCAACTATAAAAGGGTCAGATCAGGGCGAAATGGGCATAACTTCCTGTTGCCACCAACAAAAAAGATGAGCAGCACTTTCTGTTGGCGGCGGTGGGCAGGTTGTTGGTGGGAGCTGGCGGAAGGTGGGCAAGGGGAGAAATGCCAAATAAGCCGGGCTATAAACCACAACAAACGTCAAAACAATTTCCGCCTTCACAACTTGACGACGCCGTGACGCAGTTAGAACACTTTTAAAATGTTGCGGGGCCAGGAGGAGCTAGGTAAGCCAGGAAGAGCGGCACGGAAGTTGTCTTTGGTGAGCCAAGAGAGACTCAAACTTTGTTCGCGATGCCGAACTTTAGAAGCCATAAATACCAGATTATTAGGGCTCTATAAAAAGCCAACTTGTGATATTTACTGGTTGTCTGCTGGTGTTTAAAAAACCTAATAGTTCATTTATTTGGACATTTCGAGAATGTAACTCAGATTGTTAATGTTTCACCTTTCATTTCTTGTCAAATGCAACTGTCGGGTTTCGATTTGGAAACGCAAGGACATCCCACAGGGCCACTGCTGTAAATCAATTAATACCACTCACAATTTATCTATTATTCGGCTCTCCATTTAGGAGCTCCTATTTCATCTGGCAACCCGGCACAATAAATCCATGCTCACCGGAAAACCCGATCCTTCAATTGACAGTCCGAAACACAGGACAGCAAATCAAGCGGTTTGAAATGGAACGAGGACAAAAAGCCCTGTCAGTTTGTGGAAAACAAAAACCCATTTTGCCAAGAGAGCATTCTATGATTCCCAATGTGGCAAGTGGGCGGTGAAGCAAGCAAATAGGTTCACCTGCACGGTGGTTAAAGTGTTTGGGTGGTCCGTCGAGGTGCGATTGCTCCGGTTGGGGGCATGGCCAGGCACACGTTTCGCCCATCGTACTCAGCATGGAAATTGTCGGATAATCGAAGGGCCTAGGAGAAAGGTAATAGAATACTTACAGGGTCGCAGGTTAAGAACGGGTGCGATTCCGATAAGTTCTTGCATACATTCAGGCTTTCATTTGCATTTTTAGAGATCTGCATGGGATGAGGGAACGCTCAAAGACCTTGCTTGTAGCCACAAAATGGGAGTTCAAACTCAAAATATTCTTAAAGCTTTATACACGTTGAATGGGATCATAAAAGTTAATTTATTAAATAAACCTTGTGGGGTTGGAGTACGACAGTGAAGGCGATGTAAAGAGCACCGTAAAATTGCTATTAAATTTAATTTCGTTGAAAAAAGGAACTCGAAGAGGACTCCAATGTCTCGTAGTACAGATAAAAATAGCGGAGCAGCTGAAATAAGGCCGGAATAGAGTGTTTACATATTTCATATATGAACATCAGCTGGACATAATTTTAAATGTCAATATATCTGGTTGATTGTTAGCCAGGAAACGCTAGAAACGCTATAGTCGAGTGCCGCCACTATACGATTACGACCTATTGTCAGAGAAAGCATGTTGCGTAACTGATAGAGGCGTCACTGCCCATGTGAGGCCTTAAAACCTACATTTCTTCATAAACAGCGAAATAATGTTCCGATTTGAAAAATCTTTGGTAAACCTATAGATATTCACAAAAGATGTGACACAAAGTCAAACGAAGTCATACATTATAGTATTATGGACGTCGCAGAGTTCTGCGGTTTGTGGGCGTCAGAGGGTGCG